TATCAGAGGTAATGCATGCTAATTAGTTGATTTCTGAATTGCTTTTAGCCAGGAATGATAACTTCTGTAAAATAAAAAAATTTTTAGATAATATCAATATACATTATGCTTTAAAATTAATGAAATTTTTATTAAAATCTAATGTTTCTTCCTTTGNTTTTTTTGATTTTTTTGAAATTTTTCTAATGAAATTTAATTTCATTAGAAAAATCAGGATGGAAAATTTTTTGTTTCCTTATTTAGTTGACAATTCCAATTGATTTATGATCTCTAGTACCATGTACTTTATTTCTCTGTCACTAATTCCATTGCATCATTTTAATGATTTTATCCAATGTTTACAATATCAAACATTTAAGAAGTCAACTTAGCTCAGTTATGTTAGTCTACTACAGTAACATTGTACAGTACATATTTGGATGTAAATCCCAGAAAAAGTTTTGAAGCATTCTTTCAAGAAATGTTGCATTTCCAATGCTTCAAACAGCACTGAGAAGCATTGCATATAGGAAATTGTGAACATCAAACCCAGTGTTGATTCATGAGCTGAACAGAAAATGAACATGTTTATCTTGGAAGACAGTGATATATAACTTACTTTAATATGCAATAAATACTGAACAAATGTATGTGAATAAAATCAGTTTTGTTAACATAAATTTGTCTTGAGTTGTCTATTTTTTCAAAACAATTCATGGATGAACATGTAGAAATTAAGGTACATCTTAGATTCAGTGGTGTTTTAAATTTAGGAAATACAGTAATTTTGCTCATATGCAATTGGCATTATGCAGTCTACGAACTAATTTTTAATTTTTTGCAGGCAACAGGTAGTTTTATTAATCTATAATAATAGTAGTGCAGTTACATCAGAAACAATAGACAAATTTGGATTAAAAGTTAGCAAATAACCAAAAATCCAGCAAAACATTAAACTCTTTAATCAAAAACTAACATTTTCAATTGCTTTTAGTGATTATCTTCAGGTTTATGTCTATTAACAACTTAGAATAAAATTTAGTCAGAATTTACAAATTACAGGGGCCATGACATATTCCTTAAAAATACAAATAAAGGAATATCAAGAGTCAATCATGAAGGGCCTTTTAACCAAAGCATTGGCAGTGTTTGCAACTGACAATCAGGTCCAAGCTCAGTTCAATAATGGACTATTAATAAATCACACCTGAGAAAGAGCTCATCTAAAGTATCTGGAAAAAGTGGAAATATATAAAGCCAGCAAAAATGCATGGGCTGTAAATTATAAAGAACTGACACAGTTTCAACAAATCTCTTATGTTACTTCAAATTTAAGAATATTGTTGATATGTAAACAGCCACTACTATGAATGCAGCAACAGCCAATCAGATAAATGTTCTACATAGTTCAGATTTGTAGATTCTGTTCTAAATTTTATTCTAGTGTCATTAATAGATATAAATCTGAAAATCTATATATAAAAAAAATTTGCTTTATATTAAAAGCAAAATGTTCCATTCCCACCAAAATTGAAACCAGCACTATACAAAGAAGCAGTGTGTAAATAGGTCATATCAGGTTGCAGGTGGTGTTTACAATTTTTTTCCTTAAAAGGACCACTCATTAACTTCCTCTGTGGACTTCGCATGAATTTGTGGAAAGAGTTAAGAAAGGGGAAGGAAGTGTAGGGATCAGAGACAAAAAGACTTCACTTTTGACTCAGACTTTGAGTTGAGCATCCAGTAAAAAATGCAAATACACAGTCACAAAAATTATTGCAAAAACATACAAAATCCTTTGCTCGCACATAAAGGACAACCGAGGTTTTTGAAGCAGTGAAAAATGGATAAAAACCTTATATGTGAGTAAATACGGTACATAGGTGTACTGGAGTATAAGTTGATTACTTTTCCAATGTCAAATGGTGTAATATATTTTTTATAAGTGATAAAATTGCCATTATCTTTGTACAATGTCAAAAAATTTTTCTTTTTGTGTTCTTTATACCAAAAGTTAGTCGGTTTAATTTTTTTTATACCCTGTATATTTATAAAAGCAAAGTACAGATATCTATATAAATTATTTCTTNATAACATATAGTAGTATTTTGGCTATATATATAAATAAATAAATATTTTGTAGCAAATGTTTGAACTTATGATGATAAAAAGCTTAAATGACAGCTTATTCTAAACAAGACTTTCTTGAAACACAAACTGGATTTATTGTCTCTAAAGTTCAACACAGATTTTGAATATTCAACGATATGGAACAGTTGGTAAGACTGGGTACTTGGTTAATAGAAGTTTTTAATCTGTTATACATAATTCTTAAATGAAAAGATCTTTAATGTATAAATATCCTATTATTTCCTACATAAGGTCTACAAGCATCACAAATCTTAGAGAGACAAACAGCTTGGGAATATCGGGCCAATATGGGCTCCCCTGATGTTCCCAAGCTGTTTGCATTCACCAAAACACACAAAAGTGGATACCTTAGACTGGTGGTGGATAAGGCCAGGTTCCCACTCACAAGTTGAAAACTGATATCCATGATCTGATCTCCCCAAGATAATGGGAATATGACTTCACATTGGATAATTCACAAGAGCTGGTCCATCTGTTGAAGCACTATCCCAGGGGCACTACGACAATATATACTAAACTTGGTGAAATCAGAAAGAGCCATCTCTGATTTCACCAAGTGAATGTGCTCATCTATTCATTGTCTTTTTAAAGTACTGAAGTACTAGTTTAAAGTATTTTCATCCTTGTAAGGCAAAATGTATTTCTGATTTATTAAGGTACTTACATATGAATTACATTTATATTTTTATACATCATTTTGAGGCTTATTTGATGTAGATTAAGCCTATTGCATCTATTTTACTGTTTCATTTAGAATAATTAGAAACAAAAATATATCTAATTTTACTCTTGCTTAGTGACACTCCTCCCTGCCACTATGGTTATTGAACTTATACCCATCCAGTATAAAAATGCTTCAGAAAATAATTTCTCAAGTTAAAGTAATCTGAAATCAATGAAATAATGTTATGCAATTAACAAAGCATATTGTATATTAAAGTTTGGTCAGAAGGACTGAAGTCATTTCTTTTGAATAAAATAGCACCTAAGCAGAGAATTCTTACAATTACACAAGAAAAAAACAAAAATCTACATTCAATTAAATGTTGTCAACTTAATTTAAATGCAGAAATGAATCCTAACTGTGAAGGTGTGTATACACACAAATATTCTATACAAAGAAACTTTATAAGTCTTACATTAATAAATTTTACTCTATATAAATAAGTTTATTTGCTTCTTTATTTGTAATTTAACAATTCTTTATAAGAAATATTTTGCTGGGAACAACTAGTAGATGCATATCAAAACATGCTATTCTTTAAACACTTGAGTATCAAAAAATTTATCTGTTATGTTCCCTTTGGTAAACGCGTCCGCGGCAAATTGCTGCAAAATAAAAATAAAATCTTTTGTTTGACATTGTACTTAATTATTGCAGAAGTACGTCATAGTATTCTCTCTTCATATTACATGATACAACATGTTTATGAAATTGGGTCAGTTATACTAACCGTTTAGTTGTTACTGGACTTTGAATCAAGTCATACCTCGTGTTGTAACTGCTGCTACGCACCCTGCCATGTAACTAAAATATCAGTATACTTTTATATTTATGTGTTTAATTTTTTTAATAAAGTAGGTCAATATTTGCAAGTTTATTGAATAAATATATTAAATTAACACTGTCGTAAGTTTCTATAAAGTTTTAAATTTATATTAGTCTATGTTTTTGGAAAAATATAAGGGAAACGAAGAGCCATCCAAAGCAGCAGCAAAAACCTAGAATTTGTTTTATTTGTGGCATACACAAAAACAATAGGAAAAAATCAATTTGTCATGAATGGGTAGAAATGTTTGAAAAAAGCATAGTAATATAGTGATTATATGTGCCATGTGTGAAGATGAACATCACATGGATATAGAGTAACTTTTTTTTATTATCTAAATATTTTATAACCAGTTTGTTCATTAAAATGTCATAAAATTAATTTTCTGGTATATCTGATTCATATTCATATTTTCAAAACAATAATTAATTATTGACTTAAATCAAGTAATATTACATATGCAGTGTAATTGCCGCGATGTGCCCTCTCGTGAGCTCCTGAAAAGTGCGTTCACCAAGGGTTAATGTCCATAACAGAATAATTTTACTGGCCAGATGGCCAAAGTTATTAAGGCATTGACCTATTGCTTTGGAGGACCTGAGATCAAATCTGGAATTTGTCACAATGTCCCAAATACATCAAACTCCATCCCTCACCATTGGTGGTCACCATTGTGGGCTTGGCCAAACTCATGAGTATGGAAAACATGCCCTCTTAATTAATGCACACAAGATAGAAAGAACAAAAAGAAAAAAAAAATTGTGTAGAAACAAAGTATGATAAATGAAGCAATGTGATGATGATAATAAAAATATTGGATAATGTAAAAAAAAAATTTGACTTCAAATCGTTAAAAGAAAATATTCACATTTTCAACTTATGAATTCTCTTCTTAAACTTTTTTAGATTATTTTCCCCAATCTTGGAAAAGACCAGTTTCTGAGTTGTTGTAGTTAATAACTTGATTTTGAAGAACCCCTCTGAAAATGTAGAGATTCTGTTGTTTTATTTAAATGGTCCGTTTGCATTAGATAAACATACAGCACAGAAGTATACTTAGATGCAAAATATTTTTTTAATATAAGCATTCATTTAATTTAAAATCATTCTTTGTAAAGAATTTAGAAAAAAAAATTATTTAATTCTGTAAAATTTTATACATAAAAATGGAAATTTTTCTAACAATGGGAACATTATACACACTTTAATGATAAAATTACAATGCATTTCATTGTAAAATTCAATTAATTTTTTCTATTTTGAAACTTTTTGTCTATAATACATGTTAAGATAATATATAAATAAGTATTCTATGTTGGATGTTAAAAAATTGATTCTTTTATGATTAATAATTTTCATCTTTATATATATTAGAAATTACTTTGATATATAGATGAATTAATTTTTAAATTTTATCCATAAAATATTATTATTTTAGATATCTATAACCACATGTTTTACTTAATGTATCTTTTCAAAAACAATATAATCTCTCATGAAAAAATACTATAACTCCAAATCACTGAGTACTGTCTGATTTCTGTTCTAAATTTGATAACTTATCTTCATTAGATACTACATTGTCTTGATTATTATTTTCGGACACTTCAAAGTCGTCATCATCTTCATCCTCTTCCTTATTGTTTGATTGTGGATATACAGTAGGATACTGTGACATACAACTTTGCATTTCACCAAATTTTTCAAAGCAGTCACTTCCTTTAGGTTCAGCTTTGCTATAATGAAAACAGGAGAAGGCTTCCCGAAACTCTACTCCACAGGGACCTGTTGCCATTCCTCCAAGGCATGGACAACTCCAGTTTATCTCACCATTTGGAAGTATCAAACCTGATGAAATATTTAAACATTTTAAAATATAAGTAATAAGTAAAATATTTTTTAAACATTTCTTACAAAAACTGTATTTAAATTATTTTATTCTAAAAAATACCTCTTTGCTCATCATCTAAAGTGATTGGTAAAGTTACAGTGCTGGGTGTCTCATGATCTTCTTTAGTCACAAATATAACTTGATCTTTACCTTTAACAATAATTCTGAATTTAATTAAGGATTGTATTATTAAATTTTATATTTAACACTAGGATATTTAAAAAAAAATAGAACTAGGATATTGAAAATCTTCTGTTTCCAACATTAATATCCTACTTCATAACAATATAATCTCATAATTTCAGTATAATAACAAAGCAAGCATTATTGAAAAGTACATACTGTGAAACACCTCAATCTATCATTCCTGTATCAATCATTTTCCTGCATATATCAGGTTTTTCTCCAGTCCCAAATAAGAACCCATATATATATATATATATATAATCTCGATCTCCGCTATCTTTCAAACATCACTTCCATAATCCAATTTGCTGCTGAAGAATTGATTGAAATCTATCGTAATGAGGATAATTTTGCAGAGTCAGAAGAAATAGTTAATTCTGCAAAATTAAGATAGTAACTGCAGGAAGAAAACAAAGATGATCATGACAACAAAAACAGAAAATTCTCTAGTAACTGTGAAAGAAGCTCAGGCTTTTTAGAGAAAATTCAGCATTTCCTGGAGGTAAGTGCACCCAATAAGGATTATCTGATGCATGTTGACTCACTGAATACATTTATTTCCATGACTCAAGGAAATAATCTAGTTCAAACTACTTTGGACAAGTTTTTTATAAGCAAAAAACAATAGATGTGATATAAATGAAGGAAAAGTGATAATTATTCTTATTATTCTGACATTCCTATTTGTATGCAGTTTTCAATAAACTGCCACCCTCACCTTTCCACCATTGAATTTTATGTTATCAAGTTTTAGTTTTAGATTTGTTATTGTTATCCCAGTACCTCTGAGCTTAATTCTGAAATATTTTAGATAAAAAAAACTCTGTAAAAATCAGTTTATACCATTAAATAAATGTAATTTAACAGAAAGAAACCAATTCAATTAGATAAATTTCATTGAATTCAAAAGAAAAGCCTTTTCAATCACCTAAAATGGTTAAAAACATTTGTTCATTAAAAAGTTACTGCTATATTTAATTTTTTCCCCTTGAACACAATAATTTAGTAAAACATTATTAGTGAAATATAAATATTTATGTCATTTCAGAAGTTCTTATTAAAGTTATCTTTAGAAATAAGGACTTTAAACTAGGTCAACATATTTGATTAAATATATTCAGAAGTACCAACATCAGAATGTTTCTGCTTCTATAATTTAGAAATTTTTGGAAGCATAAAATTATCAATATGAGTGACTAAGCAGCTATAACACCAAATGCTTACTATTACAAGAGATCTTATTTCTTACAACAACTCAAAGACCCAACATGGTCAACAGTTTGGCCTCAACCTCGCTAATACTTTTTACAGAAAACAAAGTTTTAAATGCAAAAACATGCACGTCAAACATTCAGTGCTGCTTTCCTGTAAGCCTAGAAGTTTGACAATGGTGTTTAGATAGTCAATGTAAATTGTTTGTGGATTCTATAGCTATATATATCTCATTCATTGTATTCTTTTAATATGTACCCCTTTATTGTACTTTATTCGTAATGTACTGTATCCTATCTTACTTTGTATCTTATGTCATACTACTTAGTTTTTGTACTTTACTTTATTGCACCGTATGCTACTCTGATTTTATTTTATTTTAACTTTATTTTAATTATTTTCTCTTACCACTACTCAATTGTTGTTACTTTATACATACCATGTACCATTTATTAAATCTACGTGTTCTGACCCCACCTGGTTGTGCCTATGCGGTGCCAGGTCTTTGTACTAACTTTTGTACATAATAAAGATTAAGATTGAGTCAGCAATGGATAATCATGCTCAACATTCCAAACACCATTGTCAAACTTTTAGGCTTACAGGAAAGTGGTGCTGAATGTCCGACGTACACATTTTCACGTTTAAAACTTCAGCCTCATTCTCGCTATTTTATAAGAAAATACATTAATGTCATAAATCTGAAAAGTTCTTTAATAGCAGTTAACCAGTAAGTATAAATCAAATTTTATCAATTAGATTAACTTATTAATAGTCTATTAGTATAAAGAAAGTCAACAAAATCAGTAAGCTGTTTTATAGAAAGGAAAATACAGCCAAATCTTTGAACAATGACCACTGACAAGAACAAAAACTAGAGATTGTTTGGAAGTAGCTGTTGTTGGGAGATGAGCTGAAAATTGTACAGGTTGTATAAATTGAAGGAAAGCTTAACTCATTACTTTTAATGTAGAAAAACCACAAAAAAATATGAGAAGTCTTCCTCTAATGTGCAGAGAACTCCTAAAAATACATACATTGATCTTTTACTACAGACTACAATCTATGAAACTAACACCTATATGCAATTTCCATCAAATAACTCAATGCCCTAACATTTTCAGCCACAATTTAGAGGTCCTTCTTAGGAAATAAACCAAAAACAGTTCTATCATTTGACAGAGAATACTGGTATTCTCCATTGAGTTATAGAACTGTTTTTTTTTTGTTTTTTGGTTTATTTTCTGAGGAGATCTCTAAATTGTGGCTGAAAATGTTGGAGCATTACAGTTATTTGAAGAAAATTGCATATAGGTATTAGTTTCAATGTTGTACAGTTCTAGCTTTTACATTTGCTGTTATTTAGACTACAATCTATGTTAAAATATGTAAATGTAGGAAGTGTCCATAACTAAATGAATTACACTTCATGCCTACATTTAAATATGTAAAATAAATATACTTAAGTGTAGTTATTTAGACTACAATCTATGTTAAAATATGTAAATGTAGGAAGTGTCCATAACTAAATGAATTACACTTCATGCCTAATTTTAAATATGTAAAATAAATCGGTTTTAATTATACAGCTGTCCCTTGATAATCCGACAGGTATGGGACCAAAAGGGTGTCAGATTACCAAAAGTGTCCGGATTACCAAAAGTGATTACATATTTGGCATTGTTTTGCTAGTAGTATCCTACAATATTTCTACAATAATCCCTACTCCAACTGTTCAAACAGAACTGCTCACGGAAAACACACGAAATGTGTGTCATCGTGTAAGAATTGGGTGGGGAGATTCACGTCGCGACATGCTTCTGTGCAAGCAGACACGTAACAGGGACAGGTACCTTGACGGGGGGTGCATCGGACTGCTGAGCATGTCGGATTACAAAATGTCGGACTATCAAGGGACAGCTGTAATGCCAAATTTTCAAATGTCAAGACTAACTGAAAACCAAAAATAAAGTGAATTCCTGTCAACTTTTAATAATTCTAGATGTGTGATTACAACATAATAAATAATATAATAGAAATATCTTACTTCCTCAAGCAATAAATATGTAATTTATAAAATACTAAAAGTCAAATATAATTTAAATATTAAAAAGTTAATGAATTATTTATCATGAAAATATTATTATTAGTTATCTAATGTTTTAAAATAATATAGTTTAATGAAAATATTTATATACCACTTTGTAATAACAACAATATTACTCTATACAGAATAATCTTAACTTCAGCTGAACATTGAAAATCTAACTGACAAAATTAAAAATACTGTACTTTATTGAGGTATACATATTTTAATGAAGTATTGATATTTACAAATATGTCAGAATCTCTATGGTAACTGAAAAATATTAAGAGAAAATTTTCTTATTACATATTTTAAAATTTATATTTTAAAAATTCAAAAACTTTATATAATTTTAAAATTATTATAAAGTATTTATAAGTAGAGTTAAAAATTTTAAAAAGAATAAGACAAAACTATTATATCATATTTATGAATTAGTGAGTTATTAATAGTAATTTCAAACTATTGTGATATTACAAGAAAAATTTTCTTTTTTTATAGTTTTAGCCAAATATATGAAGTTAAAAAAGCAATAACATACTAAGTTAACTCCATATGATTCAAATAAACATGGTACAGTACACAGTTCAAAGAGTGGAACTTAACCTTCTTAATTTCTGGAACTGAAACTCAGAAGTTTAATAAGTGCTATATTAATGACATTGAAATTTATCTCTTTTTTTTCTTGATTTAATGTGATTTATTATAAATTTTAACTATAAACTATATTGTAATTCAGTCTTAGAATTACAGGATGTACAAAAAGTTCCTTTACTCAATCTTTCAGCCTTTTATTATTAATTAAACATGACCTGCATACAAAATGTAAATGAACAAAGCATGTGTACAAACTATCAACTATACTCAGAAATTTTAAGATGATGCTGAAAGTGTCCACCTTCCATTTAAAGGCAGATCTCCACTTGACAACATATATTCCTACTCACACATCATAATATTATTGTCTATATATCTGCTATGCTTGTTGCACTTTGGGTCATCCAAACTGGAAAATTTATTTACATATAAAAAGAAACTTGGCAAAGTTAAATCCGATGATTGAAACGNAAATGATACAACATTATGAATTAGTATATTCTCAAAGGTTTTTAGTGATTACGTAAGTTATATTTTAATATATCTTTTTAATTTTTAAAGTCGAATTCCGGAAACAATTGCGTAATTATTTTGCATTGTTTTTTTTGTTAAATTAAAAGTATTAAAGTAAATGTAATTCCACGAATACTTCATTATCTACAAATTTTTGTTTCTTTTATAGTCTGTAAATAAATACCGAACATTTGAATGATTTTATTGGGAGTATGGAGATTATTGATAGTTAAATGAAGAGCTAAAGCATTTGTCATTTCGTTTCTAATCAAATAATGTAATGGGGAAAATAACGTGAATCATATGATGTTGATCTTATTGAATGAGCTAAAAGATAGGGTGGTAATTGGTAAGATAGTAATATTAAAAAGATAGTAATTGTATATTATTCTCGCATTACGCGTTTTTTCTTAATTTTGTTTAAAGAAACATCTCTGATTTGACATTTCTTAAATGGCTTAAGATTGAATTTTGTTTTTTGTAGAAAATTTTATTTTTTTGCGATTGTATTTTTGTATTTANGTAATTCATTATGTAAAATAAATACCCTAATATTCCTATGTAAAATAAAAACACTTAAGTGTATATATTTTACATAGGAAGTGTCGTCAGTGATAATAATTAAAAAATTTTTTCAAATTTTCTTAAAAACATCTAAAGCATAGTCCTTAGTGCTGAAATTTTTTAGTCATTTATGCCAACAAAGGTAACGTTCCTTCTTTACAAATAACATACATAATAAATATAATAAGTCAATTTACATCAATGTTTTAAGGTAGTCTCTGAATGTTCAAGAACTTTTGTAAAAAACATTTTTTGTGAATGTATACACAGTCAAACGGTTAGCCTTGATGTTTCTTAAGAAAAATTTATTTTTTACATTTACAACTAGATTAGCCACATAAAATCCAGTAGCCAAAGTAGACATCTTACCAATGTATTATTATTACTTTCTACATGTAATTTTGAAGGCAGCAACTGTTGTTCAGAGATTAAAAAGTACAATATTTAGTGTCATTGTTAGGAGTAACTGTTGCTTGGAAGTTATTTTGAATAAGTAAGTAAGATCTAACCACACAATAAAAAACAGTAATAAACAGATCACTTTGTGACTCCAACAGTAGATTTAAATCTACTGTTAGAGTCACAAGGTGATCTATTTATTACTGTTATTTTGAATGCAGTTCTGTTTGAACCTGAAAAAATGATCAACAGTTAGAGGTGGCATTAGTGGAGATTAATTGTAATTAGAAAAAATATATAGTTGTATTAATTATGATAAAGACATAATTAATTTTAATAGTGCCATCAATCAAAGGATAATTTTTATTACTTTTGCAAGCCCATTTACATATCACACTTCCTTGTAAATTTTTAAAGTGAATATGTAAATTAATATAAACGAATGAAATATATATATAATTTTTAAAATTCTCTTCTTTTAGTCACCTTTTACCAATTGATTTTTTAAATGAATATTATTCTATAAAAATTTTAATTATATTGTTAAATATGATTAAATTCATAAACAATTTATTAAAATATGATATATTGTATTTCATTCAATATAGAACATGAAAAATATGTTCTATTTTATACATTTATTTCAAGTTTCTAACTATTTAAATCTTAAAGTTTTGATGCAAGGTCTGAAAATAAAATTTATATTTAATGATGATAATATAGAAATTATTATTTTCCTTAATAATCACTTATATATGTAAAAATTTTACTAACCGTACTGACGGCAATAAGACATTTGCATACGTATTCAATAATAACAATTTTAAAAACAGGAATTAAACTTTTATAAACAAAATTTAACCGGCTTATTAAACAAGCACATGTGCTCACGCAACTACTTATCATGGGCCACCTACCGATAAATAACCTTAAACTTAAAAAATAAATAAATAAAATTAAACTTTACTAAAATTTAATTTTTAATTTTAAAATAAAATTGTTCGATAAAAAAATATTTTAAAATTTATTATGGTATAAAAATTTATCATAAATAATTTTAAATTTATTTTATCGCCAGATGGCGCATGATTCTGTAGTTGTTTCTTGGAAATGGTGTCCACGTGTCTAGGCAGGTAATCAAAAATGAAATTTAGTGGAAGTGTAATAAATGATACAACATTATGAATTAGTATATTCTCAAAGGTTTTTAGTGATTACGTAAGTTATATTTTAATATATCTTTTTAATTTTTAAAGTCGAATTCCGGAAACAATTGCGTAATTATTTTGCATTGTTTTTTTTGTTAAATTAAAAGTATTAAAGTAAATGTAATTCCACGAATACTTCATTATCTACAAATTTTTGTTTCTTTTATAGTCTGTAAATAAATACCGAACATTTGAATGATTTTATTGGGAGTATGGAGATTATTGATAGTTAAATGAAGAGCTAAAGCATTTGTCATTTCGTTTCTAATCAAATAATGTAATGGGGAAAATAACGTGAATCATATGATGTTGATCTTATTGAATGAGCTAAAAGATAGGGTGGTAATTGGTAAGATAGTAATATTAAAAAGATAGTAATTGTATATTATTCTCGCATTACGCGTTTTTTCTTAATTTTGTTTAAAGAAACATCTCTGATTTGACATTTCTTAAATGGCTTAAGATTGAATTTTGTTTTTTGTAGAAAATTTTATTTTTTTGCGATTGTATTTTTGTATTTATCATAATGCTTTGTATATATACACGTATTTTTTTTTTTATGATAACAAATCATAAATATTAAAAGTAAGGATATGGACATTAATGTGACACTTTTCATGATAATATTCTGGTTGACATTTAACATGTAAATACTGTATTTATAACTTTTCTTTTTTTGATTTTTTTGAAATTTTTCTAATGAAATTTAATTTCATTAGAAAAATCAGGATGGAAAATTTTTTGTTTCCTTATTTAGTTGACAATTCCAATTGATTTATGATCTCTAGTACCATGTACTTTATTTCTCTGTCACTAATTCCATTGCATCATTTTAATGATTTTATCCAATGTTTACAATATCAAACATTTAAGAAGTCAACTTAGCTCAGTTATGTTAGTCTACTACAGTAACATTGTACAGTACATATTTGGATGTAAATCCCAGAAAAAGTTTTGAAGCATTCTTTCAAGAAATGTTGCATTTCCAATGCTTCAAACAGCACTGAGAAGCATTGCATATAGGAAATTGTGAACATCAAACCCAGTGTTGATTCATGAGCTGAACAGAAAATGAACATGTTTATCTTGGAAGACAGTGATATATAACTTACTTTAATATGCAATAAATACTGAACAAATGTATGTGAATAAAATCAGTTTTGTTAACATAAATTTGTCTTGAGTTGTCTATTTTTTCAAAACAATTCATGGATGAACATGTAGAAATTAAGGTACATCTTAGATTCAGTGGTGTTTTAAATTTAGGAAATACAGTAATTTTGCTCATATGCAATTGGCATTATGCAGTCTACGAACTAATTTTTAATTTTTTGCAGGCAACAGGTAGTTTTATTAATCTATAATAATAGTAGTGCAGTTACATCAGAAACAATAGACAAATTTGGATTAAAAGTTAGCAAATAACCAAAAATCCAGCAAAACATTAAACTCTTTAATCAAAAACTAACATTTTCAATTGCTTTTAGTGATTATCTTCAGGTTTATGTCTATTAACAACTTAGAATAAAATTTAGTCAGAATTTACAAATTACAGGGGCCATGACATATTCCTTAAAAATACAAATAAAGGAATATCAAGAGTCAATCATGAAGGGCCTTTTAACCAAAGCATTGGCAGTGTTTGCAACTGACAATCAGGTCCAAGCTCAGTTCAATAATGGACTATTAATAAATCACACCTGAGAAAGAGCTCATCTAAAGTATCTGGAAAAAGTGGAAATATATAAAGCCAGCAAAAATGCATGGGCTGTAAATTATAAAGAACTGACACAGTTTCAACAAATCTCTTATGTTACTTCAAATTTAAGAATATTGTTGATATGTAAACAGCCACTACTATGAATGCAGCAACAGCCAATCAGATAAATGTTCTACATAGTTCAGATTTGTAGATTCTGTTCTAAATTTTATTCTAGTGTCATTAATAGATATAAATCTGAAAATCTATATATAAAAAAAATTTGCTTTATATTAAAAGCAAAATGTTCCATTCCCACCAAAATTGAAACCAGCACTATACAAAGAAGCAGTGTGTAAATAGGTCATATCAGGTTGCAGGTGGTGTTTACAATTTTTTTCCTTAAAAGGACCACTCATTAACTTCCTCTGTGGACTTCGCATGAATTTGTGGAAAGAGTTAAGAAAGGGGAAGGAAGTGTAGGGATCAGAGACAAAAAGACTTCACTTTTGACTCAGACTTTGAGTTGAGCATCCAGTAAAAAATGCAAATACACAGTCACAAAAATTATTGCAAAAACATACAAAATCCTTTGCTCGCACATAAAGGACAACCGAGGTTTTTGAAGCAGTGAAAAATGGATAAAAACCTTATATGTGAGTAAATACGGTACATAGGTGTACTGGAGTATAAGTTGATTACTTTTCCAATGTCAAATGGTGTAATATATTTTTTATAAGTGATAAAATTGCCATTATCTTTGTACAATGTCAAAAAATTTTTCTTTTTGTGTTCTTTATACCAAAAGTTAGTCGGTTTAATTTTTTTTATACCCTGTATATTTATAAAAGCAAAGTACAGATATCTATATAAATTATTTCTTTAAATATATTTAAATTTAATGAAAAAAAAACGTAAGCTTAAACACGTGTACTTTTAAATTAAAAATTATTTAAGCGGATTTTAAAAAAATACTCGTCTTGCAGCATATGAAATTCATTAAGTCACTAAATTACTTGTTTAGAAATCTCACTACGATCAATATTTTAAAAAATAACTGATGATTATTTATCAATAAAATAATGTTCTGTTTGTTATTTTATGATATTTAATCGCCACTTTAATGTAACTTTTAAATTAATATTTGATTAAAAAACATTGTGATATAAGATTATAAATTTAAATAATACTTTTAATGTATTTTTTTAGTATTTTTTATCACTTAGTTCAAAAATGTAAGGCAAAGGTGAAAGATAAATCAAAATATAAATATAAAAATAGATAGGATTAATAAAAAAAACATATTGAATTTTCGATGCTTTGCAACTTTATTTATCATTATTTAAACATTCTACAAACAAATGAATTTTATTATTTTTATTTTATTTTATTAATTTATAAATCAAAAATTTTTAAACTATCGTCTGCGCATTTTTTTTAACATCAATAAATCATTCAATCAAAAATAAATCATAAATAGAAATATATTTATAAAAATAAAACATGCTATACTTCTTTTTGGGGACGTAGGCACGTAGAGTTCGACTTATAGAGGATATTACACATAAAACATGCTATTGAGGTTAAATAATGTTTTATTTGCCTTGTATTAAACACAATAACAAAACATTTTTAAAAAAGGGAAATGTGAGACGTCTGTCAAAATTTACTTCATTGTGAAGATAGTTCATAAAGTTTAAGAACTGGATATAAATTATAAACAATTTCTAAAATAACTTATTTCAATTTAACTACTGTATATGCTTTTATAAGCATATACAGTAGTTAAATTATCAGCAAAAGATTTAATGATTATATATGATAAATTTATCACTAAATGTCAAAATTTAATAACCTTTCAAAATACAAAACTTCTTTGTAAACTTTGTGATAGCGAACTTTCATCTCCTAAGAATTTTGTAAACACTCGAATCCTTTCGAATGCTTGTTTCCAGTTTTAAAATATCTTTTACTATAAGTTAAATATATATTTTTTTCTATTTTTAAAGATAATGAATAGGATGATAATAAAGGAGGATAAGTAATAAAATCTTCTACANTAAATTTAATTATATATTTTAGATTTTTATTTAAAATTAATTGTTTTTCTGTTGTAAAATATTTTAAACTTTATTGATATGATCTGATATATTATTATAATATAAAGGATGATTAAAAGGCCCTTGTGCAATTTTAAATTGTTAAATTTGGTTGTACACACAATAAAAATAGGTTATAAGAGACATATACAGTAGAGCATCGATTATCCGAATATTGATCAACCAAAACGTCAATTAACCAAAAGCTTTCCAGTTGGCAAATTTTAATTTTTGCTAGTGTTGTGGCACTGTAATCTTTGGCTGTGTCTTGGGCTACTCCAATATTATTTTTGTTGGTGTGTGTATTTTAGCTGGCACTGGTGCGACCATGAGAGAGTACTTAAGAACATTCCAGGATTTGAACGAATTTCAACATGGGATAGGTTAATATATTTTTTCGTACATAATCGGTTAACTAAAACACTCTCAAGAAAACCTTTAAATATGCAGCCATATTTATTAAATTCTAACGTTTTCAGTCATATTCAATGACCTTTCTCAAGAAAAACAGAAAAAATCGAATTCAAGTTCGGAGTTCGATTTTTTCTGTTTTTCTTGAGAAAGGTCATTGAATATGACCGAAAATGTTAGAATTTAATAAATATGGCTGCATATTTAAAGGTTTTCTTGAGAGTGTTTTAGTTAGTAAGAAATTGCAGTCTAGGATGAGTTATAATCGGTTATCTGAAAAATCGATTTTCTGAACATTTCCAGTCCCCAATTGATTCGGATAATCGATGCTCTACTGTACCCTGTAAAAGTTTAATTTTTTAATTTTTATGTACAGGTTTTTCTTGATTAATAAATTAATCAAGGAAATTTACAGTTAATAAATTAATACTTCTGCCACATATATAAAGGGATTGCCACAATTAATTTTGTACATTAATCAAATCCCATGTTAAACAAGGAATACCTGTATTGGTGTTTTCAATTTTTGTTAATGTTAATTTAGTTTTAAAACCTTTAACTAATTTAATATGGCAACAAAACTACATAGTTTCAATGTAAGGTTAATGTGTTATGGTTTGTAGAATTCAACTTTTTAACAGCTGTGAGATTCAGTAAAACAAAGAATTAAAGAATTGGATGTACATATGATAGAAATATCCTGTGTGATTTCTTCTCAACAGCAACCTTGTGCTAATTCCAAAGGGAATACAACAAATTGAGAGAATAGTAAGCAATCAAGTACAAAGTGGTTAATGTTTTCCTGGATTTTTTATTATTTGCTGACTTTTGATACATACATTCAGTTTAGTGTACTGTTTTCAAATTTGGATTATATAAAACTGAATTGGAAAAGGAATAAAAATAAAATAAAGCATAATATTATGTTATACAATGTACTGAATTTAGATAAAACATACTAAAAAGTGGGAAATTTAAATTTAAAATTTTTAAAACCACTTTATACATTTTTAATACTATTTAAAAAATTAAAATTGATATAAATAAATGAAAACAGCTGTCAGTATCACGTAAAATGTTCAAATAAAAATGTTTATAGGAAATTCTTGTTAGTTGAAAATTCAAGGGATGAAATAATTGCAACTTTGGATTATCCGAGATTTACTGTACATATTTCAGTACAATATGCCAAATGTCATGTAACTGATGTAATTTATTAAGCAAACAGAATACGACACTGTATATAGAATGTTGTTATTGTTCATTAATAATAATAATAATAAATTGTTGCAGGTAAATAGTACGTGTCCAGTGAGAACCTTACAGGTTGCCAGATAGGTTTTATAAAAAGTAAAGCAAATTCCTCGAAATGTACTAAAATATATGGGTACTTGTATAGGCCCAAGATTGGCTGAAATATCAATGATACAAATAGATGAAAAAATTAAAAACAGAGAAGGCATAGAATTATATAGCAGGTATGTAGATGACTGTATTATAATATATGATACAAGAAAAACAAATGAACAAATAATTATAAAGGAAGCTAATGAGATAAAAGAAAATATTAAATTTGAAATAGAAATAGAGAAACAAAATAGTATTAATTATCTAGATATAACTATAGAGAGAAAAGAAGATAAATTAATTTATAAAAAATATGTGAAACCTATACAAATACCAAAAACAATTAATTATAAATCAGTAACACCAATAAGTATGAAATATAATATATTTAAAATGTATATAAATAAAATTAGACAACGAACTAGTGAAATTAAAACTCAAGAGGAAGAAGAAGAAATAATAAAAATGTTTGTTAAATGATTATCCAAAAAGCCTACTGAATAAATGGTTAAAAAAATTGGAAAAAGATAAACAATTAAGATTAATAGATAAAGAAAAAAGTTTTGTTAAAACAAAGTATATCCCTAAGATATTTGAAAGAATTAAGAAAATATTAAACAATACAATTAATATAATACCATAAAAAGTAAATACAACAAAAAACATTTGTTATAGAAATGAAGGAAATTATGATATATTAGAAGAAAAAGGAGTAGTATATTCATTTAATTGCAGTTGTAAACCAGAAAAAACATATATAGGAGAAACAAAAAGAAAATTAAAAGTAAGAATAAATGAACACATCCGAGCAATCAAGAGAAATTATGCAAATTCAGTAATAGCGGAGCATTGTAATACCACAGGTTGCGAAATAGAATTGAATTCAGTTAAAATAAAGAAAAAAGAAAAGAATAATTATAAAAGACAACTTTATGAACATATTAATATAATAAGACAAAATAATAGAATAAATAATAATACCGGTAGAGAAATGCGCTAATCATGGCTAAGACTCATAGAAACAGGGGAGTGTCTAACTGATAAAAAGAACACTCGGAAAAAGTAGAAACAAGGTGTAAGGCAAACGGATTTAAAACGAATGTAAGTTGTAACAATAGTAAATAAATTAAAAAACTGTAATAATGTTAAAATAATCTATTTAATACAGGTTTAAGATTATAGTGATAGTGCTATTGTCGGTCGAATTTGAATGTCCAGCTGTGGTAAAAATAAATGAAAACTTTAAAATTGTAAGATTTTATTAAACCTTTGTCGGGAATTTTAATTGTAATTTTAAATACTTAATTTTATTGTTATAGAATATATAAAAGTACCTGCTGAGGAGGGACAAGAATGTCCGAAATGCAAAACTGTGTGTCCAGGTATATTAAGTAAAATAAAAAATGTTTTTCTGTAAAACTTTGTAATATTTCTGTAGTGCCAGTATAATAAGTCCTGGTAATAGAATATACATTATTATAGACGAAAATTTATATTTTAGTAAGGAAAAAAAGGACACTGAGGCATTTTAATTAAATCCTCGAAATGTAGCTCAAATTATTTTTAAAGTTGTCCAAAAAGTAGTAAGTCTCCCAAATGTAGTAGCCTAGAGCCCTACAAATATCTCAAACTGCTACTCATAGCCCAATCTTGCAATCCCAAAAACCAGCCATATTTTATGAAATAAGAGAAAAAAGGGTAATCTATGGGTTACTGTAAACCCAAAAATGTGTTACTGTAGAAGCAAAGTCATATTGACCAGATTAGAGTTGTTCTTGGTTTGTTCTCTTACAGTATGGAGGCATTTCGATCTAAACAAACAAGATAACATACATGTATTAGAGTTTGGAGAGAATTTTCATTCGGAATTTTGAAGTAGCTGTATTTCAAACTAACTGAATTCCTTAACATACAAATCTCTATATCCTCATCCAGTTAAAAAGTACAGTTTTGAACTAACAGGATTTTGAGCTAAGTTCAAATTAACAAGGATTTCCTGTATTTTATTTTAAACTTATTTTCATTTATCCATTTAATAAGTAACAAAATTTAATCTATAAACCTCTTGCATTATAAAATTTATACAGCTACTTAATTTAGATAATTTTGCTGAAAATAGCATTAAATATACCAAAATAAGCAAAAAAACCAATATCATCTAAGTACTATACTACTAAATTTGTATCAATTCAAACTTCTTGAATTACATAAAATATACTTATTTCTCCATTTCTTGTTTTTTACTGTAGTTTACTGACCACTAAAAGGTGACATAACACTGATATGCACAATATAACACCTTTCTTATTTCAGCAATGTTTATTCTGCATTACAAATGTTTTTGTCTGCATTTAGAGGCCTTCAAGTAAAAAAGCCATTCCATTTATCAAACATTTGAAAAATGGAGAAATTCTACAAGGATTACGGATTTGGTTTTTAAAAATTTACATTCTAAATTAACTGACATGGATTAATTCAAAATTGTAAAATAAAGTAGAAAATTAATATTAAAATAAGGATAAATATAAAAAATAATAAAATAAAATATGATGCACTTTCATGCATTAATTGAAAAGTTCCAGTTTATTAATTAACTTTGGTGACACAACTTTATAGAATTACAGAAGAGGATAAAACTACATAGTTTCAATGATAAAAGTTTTACATAATTACTTTTTACATTTTATATTGATAATAGCTCTTTTTTTCTCTAAAAGTGGTACTGATGTAGTGATTTTCATAAAAATATATTGAATTGAATACAGTTGAGTTGAAATGATAACACTGTTCACAGGTGCTGTAGTCCATGCAGAGTGCAACACTTTATGGACTACAGTATAAGTTTGACGTGCGAGTCTGTAAATGTTTTCATTTTATTTTGGGGTCACTGTGCTTGTGAGGAATTCATTTTGAGTAAAAATATCTCATGATACAAATAAGTGAGTTCACAACTTTATGCATAGGCATAGATATTGTTCATATGCCAATATCTTACCATTTTTGTTGGTTATAATTGAAATCAGAAATTTTTCTGCATGCCACTAATATATTTATATCTACTGTATATACACAAATAAACAAAATGTAAACTTAGGTTTATTTATTTTAACAGGAAAAAATAAAGTCAGTTTAGAGTAGGATCATATGTTTAAGAGTATATTTATATTCTAATCATAATTATTGTATGACAAAAATATAGGAGCTGGTAAGATTTAATTTTATGAATCTCATTGATTTTTTTTAATCATCAATGGTCTTATCTGATGTTTTTATTTAATTAGAAAATATTTAAAGTTAACTTTATCTGTTATTTTATTTGGAAATTATTGAGAGAAAAGTAGAAAGTTACTTATTTATGCATTTGAATTGCATATTAATGTGTAAGTCAACATATATAATTTCATATATAGATATTGATCAGCTATGTAAATATCATAACTATAGTTTTTATTTTAATCAAAGGTTTGTAATAAAGTTTATAAAGGTTTTTCAAATAATTTATAATAAACTTTAAACAAAGTAACAATTACTTTTACTATATTATTTTTAGTTTTATGAAATATATTGAATGTTGAATTTTACAGAAATCATTTTGTATTTATAATTTTAATAAATTTAATATATTAAATGAGTACATTATCTAAAAATTTTTGAAATTTAATCTGGTTTATCAACCAAGTTATTGTATAATGTAAGATAATATTTGATAGTTTAAGTGCATACTCTAATCACCAAATTTTTAACAATCTAATGAAAGAAATAATTATAAGACTTGACTATATTATTTTAGCTAATTCCATTTTAATTTTTTAACTAAATTAAAAAAATTCAGTGATAGAAGAATTATTGTATAGTGCTTTCAAATGTTTGTGAATTTTCATATAATAAGCACTGATGATAAATCTTAGAGATGATAGAACTAATGTATTTAATATATTTAGTTTGTTTAATAAATACATATATAAGATAAACATGGAACACATTTGTTTTTGCTGGTTTGTTGATGATAGTGGTGTTTTTTATTGTTTAATAAAGTTTTATGTTTTTTTCTAGACTAATTGGATAAGTTATTTTATTTTACTCATTACTCTTTAGTAATATTACTACCATAAATTTATTGTGTGCTATAAGGGATGACTAATGTATATTTTTATCAACATATGTTTGAACTATGCTTTCTAGTGAACTGGTATCATTTTTTTCACTTTTATTTTTATTTTATTATTTATTATTTAATTTATTTTTATCTATCTATCTATCTATATATATATATACATATATGGACGTGTGTGTCCTTATAGTTCACTTTTCAGCCAAAACTACATATCGCACATGAATGGTGTTTGTATGTGGTAGTAGCCCCAAGTCTCCATTTGTGCACTATGGTGGTTGCGTCTCGATAGCTATAAGGGTGCAGGAGATATGTTCTTGAAAGTGGAAGATTTTCTATTTCAATTTTAAAAATTTTGAAATTCGAATTTAAATTCAAATTGGTTCGATTACAGAACAATTGTAAATGTTCCAGAAAATTGATCAAATTGAAAATAGTTCGTTTGACTGGATGTAAAAATTCTCTAATTAGTCTGGAAATGGGGGACCTAATTCTTGCATTCTGTAAAAATGGGTAAGATTGGCTATAATGTAATTATCTTAATCTTCACTATCATTACTTTTTGCCCACAAATAAAAACCCAGCGAAGTGGGTTCTTGCAGCTAGTTTAATATATTTTTGAAACTGATTTTCAGAAAACATTACTTTCGGTAACAATAAAAATAAGGATAGAAACATCCTTATTATTGTTGTTGTTGTTGTTAATTATGAATATTTCAAAATTTGTGTGTCTTAATTTTGAAACTTATTTTCAAATTTGTCATTATCAAACAACTTTTTCTCCAGTCTCTTTTAAAATATATTAATCTATTCCAGACAAATAAAAAATAATTTTTATTTTATAACTAAACTGAATATTGTAATTATTATAATTTATGTAATTTAATAGATAATGGATGAGTTAAAAAAATTTTTTTTGTATTTGCACTACTGATTGATTTTCATGAGATATTGTAAAATGTTTACAATAATTTTTACTTAGTTATTTATTAACATTAAAATATACAAAATAATTGAAATTTTATATAATATTTACATTATATTTTTATAGCTGTTCTGAAGATAGTCAGGGCCTGCATAGGGCACTGCATAGGGCCAAAATTGCTAATTTGGCAATATTTTTATTAAAATGGTGATAAAAATATAATACTAGCGATAGCAAGTGGCAATAAAATCCTAGTCTGCTTGTTTTGACATTCAGCATAAAATTGAATTATAAATCACTCTTCAGGAAAAACAGCGAAATGTCAAGCTTCCTTACAATGGGAGTCCATGCACCACACATCTAGCAATTTAATGACATCACATGGCAAGTTCAGGAGGAAAAGTAGGAAGTGACATTAAGAACCAAAGATAGTTTTGTGCAACACCGCCCAGCATTTCCACATTGGGATTTTTTTATTGACTGACAGAAATTTTGGAGAATTTTTTTGGGATGACCTTTTGGCTGCAATTTGAGAAAATTGTAGACTTAGCAGCAGTACTTGACTGTTGACACTGTGAGCATTATAATGGAAAAGATAGACTAAAAAAGTTTATCTTTGCAAAAAATTAGTGCTTTCTTGTATAATTTTTTATGAAAAATTATTTATCATTACAATCATAAATTTTGTGGATTTGGACATCAAAAAGTTTGTTTATTAGTGTCCCATGGTAAAAATAGGTCATTTGTGATATCAACTTTGATTTTATTTTTATTAATTAACATATTACATCAACATATTACAAGTTTATAATTATATATGTAATCTTAGGATGTTGGCATGTGCTTAAAGTGTTCTTTTAATTTTAAAAATTTTTGTGTTAATTTATCAGTTTAACGTTGTACAACAAATTATATAGTATGCCTATTTAATTATTTGTGTGAATTAATTTGAATCTTCCAAACTACATAGTAATAATTATTAATTGGTTTATAAATTGTTTTATTTTGTGTGCAATAATTTCTGGACAAATCTGGGTCCTGGAAATATTCTTTACTCCTGAATTACACTAAATAAGAGTTTGAGGTTCTCCTAACTATTCTTCAGATGACATTGATGGAACTGCTTCATCTTCCAGGATTAGGTGGTGGTTGTATTTTGCCTTCTCAAAATGAAGTCTTGACAAAGTTCATTTTTGGATCCATTTAAACATTTTTGTTCTATTTAATTGCCTTTATCTCTCTTCTTTCTTTACAAACTGGATCTTTAAAACATCATATGTCCAAAGAACTTCTGATTTGTGGAGTGTTTTTAGGCTGGATTGCTATCACACAATTCTGGATTATCAGGCTACTTTTCACAAGTGGCTGATTACTAAACATTCCAGATTATTGGGTGCCAAATAAAAAAATTCTACTGTGATAAAAAAATGGAATAATTATTCTATCTTTCTATATACTGTGTATAATATAAAGAGCATTTTACATATTATAATAAGTGATGTAACGAATATTCGGTTACTATTTGGTATTCGGCCAAATACCGAATATTTAATCACTATTCGGCCGAATACCTAAAAACAGGAATAAGAAATAACAAAATCACAGTAAATTAATTATTTTGATATTTAGATTTAATGTTATCGGGTTGGTGTTGCTTGTTTATATTCATTTATAACTTATAACATACACAAAATAAAAATGAAAATAATAATAGTCACATGTATTCACAATTTATAATTACAAAGATAAGCACACATGCACACCTATTCATTTCAGAATCGTCGCACATCTGAGGTCTGACCCTGCCTATCCTTTTTTTTAAGCGTTCATCTTTGCTCTTCCCTTTCTCTTTCCTCTATCGCTCTAGTTCATGTATGCTTACGCATACATCATAATATGCACTCACGATACTTTCGATTCATCACTTTTCCATCATAGATTTTCCATTTTACAATTATGTGACTCATAGCCTGGTGATAACAGAGAAAAGAAACAGATAGGATGTTGGTATAAGTCACAATTATGATTTCATAGGTTCGAGACAGCTTGGTAGCCCAAATGGCCCCAGCCTTTTTCCCGTGCACGCTAAATGACTTTCATTACAAGCATTTAGCTTTCCGAAGTTTATGACAATTGTTTGGCATTGACAGCCGTGAATTTCAAGCCAATAAGCTTCCTCGACTCGTTCGAACATGTTATCAACTCAATTTCATATTTATTTTCACATTTTCACTTTGCTGTCCTTCTCTTTTCTTTTTCCGTTATTTACACGTTTAGGTCATTTCATTGTTATCCACATTTGATATCATCATTTATCACATACTGCCATGACACTCTTGTCTGTCTGCTACAACTGTCAAGAATTAACGCGATTGGCAAAGCATAGTGACAGCAGGCCAATAGAAAGCAGAGTCCTTGCCATAATGCAGTTTGCGCATCAATTTTCGTACGTGTGTTAATCAAGCTGAATAGTTTGGCCGAATATTTGGCTATTCAACCACGCTCTTGGCCAAATATTCAGCCTGAGGCTGAATATACTATTCGTTGCAACACTAATTATAATACAAATCATTAATTAAATAACCTTTTTTAAGATTTTAATTATATATAATTATTATACTTTGAAATATATGTATTTTATTTATTTTAATAAAGTATTAATTAAGTAGAAAATTAATTAAAATTACTTTTAAGATTAATTAGAAATGACTAAAGAAATTGTTTTCATAAATTTCAGGCATTAGATTTTATACATACAGTATTATTTGTGATTAGAAATGGCAAATTCATATAAAGAAACAACTGTGTTGATGATGGATTCAAAAACTGATGCAACACTTGTTGAACATTTGAAAGCAGGTAATAAAAGTACTATATTTTATGACATCTTATTTCTTAATTGCTTACTAATTATATTGGTCAAGGTCAAAACATGTGTCAAAAGTTTTGTTGCTGGACTTAAAGGATGTTTAAAGTGTGTTTGAAATTAAATATCAAAAATATGTTTAAAAATCAATATTTATTTTTTTCATGTTAGATAAAAATTATCAGTTTTAATCCAAAATTTTGAAAATAAAATTTCCTATTAAATTGACTAGATTACTTTTTATAATTTACAAATTTTGATTTTATAGGTGATTAGATGATTATATTACTTTCTAACAAATAGAATTTACAAGTGTATTTTTGAATTTTGTTTTGAGATATGCTAATTTTTATAACATTAGCATCTGATTACAGTATCCAGATTACAATAAACATTTTATTCTATTATACACTATATTGAATATGTCCTCATAAATAAATGATACAAATTTGAATAAATTGATATAATTTTTTAATAAAAAGTGGAATGTCAATGCTTAGGATAAATGCTGGAAAATTAGAATTCATATTTTAAAACTGATTGCTCTTAATGTATAGAAATATCACTATCCAGAAATATTTAACTATGATATAGCCGTCCTTGGTTACTTACCTCACCGAATGAGGAGACTTTCAATGTCCTTGTCCTATATTCTCCCACTTACGGCATTCAGCCTGCATTGTACAATTCCAGCGAGATATATTATCCTGGTATACATGATATATATATATATCATGTATACATTAAACGATGAAAAAGTTAAACGAGGCAGTGTTAAGCAGGATCTTATTGTGTATGTGTCTATATATATATCCTCGTTTAACATGGTCTGCTTGAAGCCTTAAAAAAAGCTCAAAATTTACGCGGATTCAAATTATTGTCTTTTCATCGATTCCTATATAATATAATTATTTACGAACATGAACCAATTAGAAAAAAGGTGGCAATTCATCATAGTGCTGTACTTCCCCTAAATCTATATTTTTGTGCAATTTTGGAAAAAAATATAGCATTATGGATGCCATAGGCAATATCAACTTAACAAGAATTTATTAATTAATTCTTGCTTAACAAGAATTAACTGATAAATGCATGAACGAAGTTAAGTGGAAGAAGTTATGGCTGAAAGTATCTAAGAATTCTCAACGAGAAGAGTCTATAGCTCTATTGTTTGGTTGACCAAATTGTCAACCTAATCAATACAGCAAGACTAGGAGATGTAGACGAACAGGATATTGAGGAGTTACTGCAGGTTTCTGGTCAGAGTCTTACCAACGATGACCTTCAAGAACTGGCAGAACAAGGAATTCATATAGAAATGGAAAATAGTGGTTGTGAAAACAAAGAACCCAGAGAATTTCTCTACAGATTTCCTTAGTAAAAGTTTGGTAATGATAACTGAAATCATTGATCAAATTGTAATGAATGATCCAGATCTTGAAAGGAGTGCAAAAGCAAAACAAGGTGTTTTGGATGTGATTTCTTGTTACTGACATTTGCTTAAGGAAAGAAAAAAAAAAAGCTACAAATGAAACTACATAACTTTATTGCAAAAGACAAAAATTTTAGAAAAGCCAGGACTTTCGTCACAAAAAATGAACTTTACATTTCTGTGTGCATATGTTTGTATGTTATTTAACAAGTAATAAAAGTACTATATTTTATGACATCTTATTTCGTAATTGCTTACTAATTATTTTAAATTAAATATAAATATTGATCAAGGTCAAAAACATTTCTCAAAAGTTTTTTATTAAAAAATTTTGTTGCTGGACTTAAAGGATGTTTAAAGTGTGTTTGAAATTAAATATCCACTAATTTGCATATATTATTATGCAAATTAATATAAAAACAACTTTCCTTTCCCTATTTATTCTGTGTTAAAATTACCTCATTTAATGCTATTTCGTTTAGCGCAGGGGTGTCCAACCTTTTTGTTTCTCTGGGCCGCATTGGAAGAAGTCAAGGAGTTTTGGGCCACAAGTATATATAATATATACTTGTGGGCTAATATACAAGTATATTTAAAAATTAACATGTCTAGATTATAATAATAAGTATTAAAACATTATCGAGAAAAAAAGGATATTTTAAAAAATTACTTCTACAGACAATTTCAATTTTTACTTAGAAATAGATAAATTCATTTATTATAAAAGTGAGTTATGAAAATTTATTTGAAAAACACAAATATTTGTTTTATTTGGGTCTCTAATTAATAAAAAGCGATGAAACATCATTTTAAAGTGCATTTTTATTAAATTAATATAATTATAAATAATATGTAGCCAAAGAGCCAAATGATATTTTTTACGTCAAGCAAAAAAAAGTAGCCACATTTGGCCCAATGTAGCCAAATCTTGCAACGTTGGAAGAAATACTAAATAAAGATGGAGCTGTGAATCAAAGGATTATAGACCCAAGTGCGGAAAAAAGAGGCAAAAGACAAAAGATAAAGAAGTGAAAAAGGTTGAAAAATTATGGGTTTCTATTTGTTTAACAGAAGATCTATTTAACGTTTCTCACTACTACATCTTTTGTCCTTTCTCATCTTTCCCTCCTTTTCCCAAATTCAGGTCTATAATCCTTAGAGTCACAACTCCAAATTTATTTAGTAATCATTCCGCATTCACACATCTCAAAGTATTTGAAAATATTTTTTTACATTCAAAAATAAAATATAAATAAAAGTTTACGGCTTTGTGAAACTTTGAGTTTATGCCGTTGAAATAAATAAATAATAAAAAAATTAAATCATTTCTCGGTTTGTTTACACGTTTATTGGGCCGCATTGGAACTTGCCTTGGGCCGCATGCGGGCCGCGGGTTGGACACCCCTGGTTTAGCGCTTTGTCATCTAGGAATGCATCCCCGCGTTAAGAGGGGTCTTACTGTACAGTAATACCGCGACTTACGCGAAACCGGAACAAGGAATTCATATAGAAATGGAAATTACTGTCTATTCCAGTAATAAAAAATATGGTTTCCCATTAGTAAAAGCTCTTAATTTTAACCTTAATATAATCTTGACTTTTGACTTAGACCTTAAGATCAAGGGTATATCTAAATGTAAAATTTCCTGCTCTTTTCATTTCCGGGGTCAAAAATGTGTGTTCCCATTGAAAAAACAGACTTGACCTTCAAAATGATCTTGAAGGTCAAGGTCACCAATTGATTGCCCCCTTGACACCCTACAACTTTTGTCTATACCTTTTTCCAAAATAATGAGATCCAATTAAGATATTTCATTGTTTCAAGATAAAAAAAATACACCCTGTATATATATATATATATATATATATATATATACATATATATACACACACCAAATGACTTGCAGATTAAATTGGGCTACTTCTCCACTATTATTTTTAATTCATTTCTAAATGGTAGGCATTAGGTGCCATCTCTTACTAGATTTAATAATTAAATTAATAATTTATAAATACTTTAGAATATTCTGAAAGAAACGAATTGGCCTATAGTGGGACTTGAACCTGCAACCCCACTTACTGTGTGGATGTATTGCTAGTTACATTACCCAGACCAATTTTTCCTTCCAGAGATATTTAACATAATATAATCATAGTTTAATTTTATAATTATAACATACATAATCATAGTTAAATGTGTGTGGAAAGAAAGATCAGTCTGGAGGCATGGGTATTGTAACTGACTGCATTGGCATGGCAAGCAGGAATTGCAAGTCTGAGTCTAATTCTTTTCTTCTGGAATATTCTAAATCATCCAGAAAAATTCAAAAGTCTTTAAGGAATACTTTTTGTTTAGTAATGGTTCATAATATAGAATTAATGCCTCTTCATATTTTTCCATCTTTGTTACTTTATACTGTAATGGTAACCTTCACATCTTTACAAACAGTTTTAACTTGTTTTAGTGCATGTTTGTTATAGGTGTTATGCCTTCATCCAATTATTATATTCTTTATCTTGCTTGACATTATTTATTGAATTTCAAATTGTATATATAGCAATCACATGTATAATATTACCTTGATGTAACAGAGGAAGAAAAATACTAGAATAGTTAAAATTTATATTCCACCTGTTGTGATATATTTCTTTTTTATATATGTAAAATAAAAAATATATATACAATGGTGTTTCGTATAACGGATGCTGCGAACAACAGACTTTCCGTTCGGCAGTTACATGAGGCGAACAACAGTCTTTCTGCAAACAAGTATGAATGATGTTTCCACTCTTTTGCCGTTGCCAATGGAAATCTGCATTTTTTATAATATATTAGTATTATTAGAATATATTATTAGTATATCTGAAGTACAGAGCTCCTGTTGGGATTTGGCTTGCTCCCTTGTTTATTACGTACATCAGTGCAGGGTATTTACATTTATTCAAGTGTTGTGCAAATCATGACTTCTAAAAAAAAACAGAAAAGTGATTTCAATTGAAACAATGCAAGAAATCATCAGGAGTGAAAGTTGACAAAAACTTCCTTGTCAAATGGGGATAGGTTCAGGAGTTTACCAACACTCATTATCCAAACAGAGCTGAGGCCAACAGGATCAATGATCTCTACAATGACACTCTTGCCTGTCATTTCCGACAGGTGTTGAAGAAGAGAAACAGACCACCTTGGACATGTTTTTCAAGAAGCCAGCTGCCAAAAAACAAAGGATGGAACAAGAGGAGTTGACCTGCAAGCTCCGGTAGCCTCTCCTTGTTCTGACTTCGATTAAAAAACAATAAAAAGAGACCTGCTGCAATGTGTAAAAAGTCTGTATCTGTATGAATGTGTAAATAAAGTGTTCCTCCACCTCCTCCTCAGAGCATCTGACTACTCAGCATAATTGGTGACTGCTCCATTTTCATTTTTTTTTTTTTTATTTTTATGGTACAGTATGGTTATTTTATGCTGCAGAACGAATTATATGTTTTAACATGTATTTCTATGGAAAAATGCATTTCATATAACGGACGTGTACCTGGAACGGATTAAGTACGCTATACGAGGCACTACTGTATATATATAATTATTTGTTTATTTATATATAATATATGGAATACATATTAAAGTATAAATTGGTTTTTAAAAAGCTTATATTAATTATATAAAGATACTTATAGATTATATTACTTTTTTAGGCACTCAACAGCTTTTAAAATATACTTCACTTGTTACATTGACAGTACAAAATGCTGCATTAAATTTAACAATGAGAATGGCAAGAACTCAGAAAGATCTTTTTATGGCAAGCACTGCAGTTGTTATGGCTGAAGTTATAAAATTGATCACTTGTCTTGCTTTAGTATGGATAGATGAAGGAAGTTTTTCTAAAGCCATTGTGTCAATTTACAGGACAGTGATTAAACAACCAATGGACACGGTTAAGGTATGTAATGTTATATATGATGTCACTTAAAATTTATCTTGATTTAGTAACAGGAACTGTAAACAATAAGATTAAACTAATATGTAAATTTAAATTTTATGATCATTGTATTAATATAAATCAAACAGTTATTTTTTTCTTTTTCATATTTAGACTGGATCCAAATTATAATACCAGGAAATATTAAACCAGTATTTTCATTAGATAGAAACTAAATCCAGACTATATAGATTTAACAGAAAATATTGTATCATTACAGTAACAGTTTTGAGCAATCATTAAGAACAGTGTAATTATTGTTTTTTGTTGAAGAAATTTTCCTTTCTGTGATTACCTTCCATACCTCAAATCTCTCAATTAAGTAGCCAAAAGTAGACATAAAAAACTTGCACACAAACTGGAAATATATACAGTAATACCCCAAACTTACGCAATAGGTGGGACCGAGCGATAATTACGTAAGTCGAATTCGCGTAAGTCAGGGTATAATTTCCCATATAAATACATACAAATAATTTTTAATTGGGGCCGGAGACTAAAGAAAACAATAATTTAGAAAATTTTTAATAAAATCTTAGATAATACCCTGCAACCCCACTTACTGTGTGGATGTATTGCTAGTTACATTACCCAGACCAGTTTTTCCTTCCAGAGATATTTAACATAATATAATCATAGTTTAATTTTATAATTATAACATACATAATCATAGTTAAATGTGTGTGGAAAGAAAGATCAGTCTGGAGGCATGGGTATTGTAACTGACTGCATTGGCATGGCAAGCAGGAATTGCAAGTCTGAGTCTAATTCTTTTCTTCTGGAATATTCTAAATCATCCAGAAAAATTCAAAAGTCTTTAAGGAATACTTTTTGTTTAGTAATGGTTCATAATATAGAATTAATGCCTCTTCATATTTTTCCATCTTTGTTACTTTATACTGTAATGGTAACCTTCACATCTTTACAAACAGTTTTAACTTGTTTTAGTGCATGTTTGTTATAGGTGTTATGCCTTCATCCAATTATTATATTCTTTATCTTGCTTGACATTATTTATTGAATTTCAAATTGTATATATAGCAATCACATGTATAATATTACCTTGATGTAACAGAGGAAGAAAAATACTAGAATAGTTAAAATTTATATTCCACCTGTTGTGATATATTTCTTTTTTATATATGTAAAATAAAAAATATATATACAATGGTGTTTCGTATAACGGATGCTGCGAACAACAGACTTTCCGTTCGGCAGTTACATGAGGCGAACAACAGTCTTTCTGCAAACAAGTATGAATGATGTTTCCACTCTTTTGCCGTTGCCAATGGAAATCTGCATTTTTTATAATATATTAGTATTATTAGAATATATTATTAGTATATCTGAAGTACAGAGCTCCTGTTGGGATTTGGCTTGCTCCCTTGTTTATTACGTACATCAGTGCAGGGTATTTACATTTATTCAAGTGTTGTGCAAATCATGACTTCTAAAAAAAAACAGAAAAGTGATTTCAATTGAAACAATGCAAGAAATCATCAGGAGTGAAAGTTGACAAAAACTTCCTTGTCAAATGGGGATAGGTTCAGGAGTTTACCAACACTCATTATCCAAACAGAGCTGAGGCCAACAGGATCAATGATCTCTACAATGACACTCTTGCCTGTCATTTCCGACAGGTGTTGAAGAAGAGAAACAGACCACCTTGGACATGTTTTTCAAGAAGCCAGCTGCCAAAAAACAAAGGATGGAACAAGAGGAGTTGACCTGCAAGCTCCGGTAGCCTCTCCTTGTTCTGACTTCGATTAAAAAACAATAAAAAGAGACCTGCTGCAATGTGTAAAAAGTCTGTATCTGTATGAATGTGTAAATAAAGTGTTCCTCCACCTCCTCCTCAGAGCATCTGACTACTCAGCATAATTGGTGACTGCTCCATTTTCATTTTTTTTTTTTTTATTTTTATGGTACAGTATGGTTATTTTATGCTGCAGAACGAATTATATGTTTTAACATGTATTTCTATGGAAAAATGCATTTCATATAACGGACGTGTACCTGGAACGGATTAAGTACGCTATACGAGGCACTACTGTATATATATAATTATTTGTTTATTTATATATAATATATGGAATACATATTAAAGTATAAATTGGTTTTTAAAAAGCTTATATTAATTATATAAAGATACTTATAGATTATATTACTTTTTTAGGCACTCAACAGCTTTTAAAATATACTTCACTTGTTACATTGACAGTACAAAATGCTGCATTAAATTTAACAATGAGAATGGCAAGAACTCAGAAAGATCTTTTTATGGCAAGCACTGCAGTTGTTATGGCTGAAGTTATAAAATTGATCACTTGTCTTGCTTTAGTATGGATAGATGAAGGAAGTTTTTCTAAAGCCATTGTGTCAATTTACAGGACAGTGATTAAACAACCAATGGACACGGTTAAGGTATGTAATGTTATATATGATGTCACTTAAAATTTATCTTGATTTAGTAACAGGAACTGTAAACAATAAGATTAAACTAATATGTAAATTTAAATTTTATGATCATTGTATTAATATAAATCAAACAGTTATTTTTTTCTTTTTCATATTTAGACTGGATCCAAATTATAATACCAGGAAATATTAAACCAGTATTTTCATTAGATAGAAACTAAATCCAGACTATATAGATTTAACAGAAAATATTGTATCATTACAGTAACAGTTTTGAGCAATCATTAAGAACAGTGTAATTATTGTTTTTTGTTGAAGAAATTTTCCTTTCTGTGATTACCTTCCATACCTCAAATCTCTCAATTAAGTAGCCAAAAGTAGACATAAAAAACTTGCACACAAACTGGAAATATATACAGTAATACCCCAAACTTACGCAATAGGTGGGACCGAGCGATAATTACGTAAGTCGAATTCGCGTAAGTCAGGGTATAATTTCCCATATAAATACATACAAATAATTTTTAATTGGGGCCGGAGACTAAAGAAAACAATAATTTAGAAAATTTTTAATAAAATCTTAGATAATACATATGTATGACAAATTATATTATTATACAATTTTTAACATTTACTTGATTATTACGCCATAATTTTAACATTGTTTCTATCTCAGGGATAATACCGTGACGTTTACGAATGATGCTTGAATTTAAAGATTGAGCATTTTTTACAGCTTCGAGAATTTTTTCTTTACCTTTTATAATTGTTCTGATCATCGATTCCGGTAGATCAAACTTTTTTGCCAATTCACAAATTTTCATTTTTGTATCGAAGTAATAATGTAAACAATGTAATGAAGTTAATAATGTTAACTTTACATTCCAAAGATAAAGTTTTTCTTTTTTTGTTTGATGCAGAATAATCAGTTCTACTTCGTTTAGATGACATTTAGAGTCTCTCGAGTCTGCATAGATATAAGAAACACAGAAATAAATAACACAAAATAAATTGTAGCTATGTATGGATTCCGCATGACACGTCCGAACATGTAAGCTGAACAATAGTGTGGGGGGAGTGAGTAATCGAGAGTTGCGTGGCGCTCAAACAAAAGATGAATCAACGAGATTTGAAAATCGCGTAAGTCGGGGTAGCATAAGTCGAGGTATTACTGTACTAAAACAACCACTTCACACCTAAGCGATAATTCCAGCAAATGAACAACAAAAAAATTTTAGTGTTCAAAAGTTTTCAGCCGTCTTTCAGGGGCCCTTGTCAGGAAAAATTGTATAGAATAGAAAAACAGTTCTATCTTTTTAACAGTTTTCAAACATAGCTGTGTTCTAATTTTTAACATTTACATGATGTTGAATACAAAGATTGTTACATATTACAACATATAATTAAAATATTTATAAATAAAGTTATAAATAAATACAATAATAATATATATGGTGTTAATATATAAAATAATATATATGGTGGTAATAATATATTCATTGTTAAATGTTTTAATGTATAACTGATGTGCGTTTGAACATTAAAATTTTGTTGTTGTTTATTTGATGGAATTATCGCTTAGGTGTGAAGTGGTTGTTTTAGCCAAAAGTAATCAGTAAGCATGTTGATGCTCCATCTTTTTTGATATTTTTTCCTCAGTTTTCTTTTTGTTGATAAAATTTTTCTTTCCTCTTGTTCTTTGTTCAGGGAACAAGAGTTGTAGAAAATAATTCAAATGAGATTATATAAGAAGTAACATTTCAAACTCATATTGTAGCTGAGATTCTTGAATGCATCTAGCATTTTGTTGACAATATTTCTATAATTTGAATTTTTCTTGTTATCAAAAATCTTTGTAACAACATGTTTAAAAGCTTGCTGCCTTTTCTGTTTCATTCATTGCATTTTTAAATATAGCATCATCATCATCATATCAGGTTTCTTGATATCAAGTCTTAGGAATATGTTCTTTAACTTGTGGAAGGGCTGGAAATTGTTGATAAACATTTTAAGGAGTTTCTTCCTTTATTTAGAATCTTGATAAATTTTTTATTATCCCCAAATTTATGTGAAGAAGCAGAATGACTTGAGGAGCAACAGTTTGGAATGCTGAAGTTGTACTGTACATTTATTCATTGTAGTGACTATGTCACAGACTAGTGTTATCAATTAAAAATAAATTACTACTAGAAGTTTTATTTGAACAAAATTTTATTAAAGGCCAAAAATAAATAAAATAGAAAAGTCAGAAAATATTACATTTTTATAAAATTTTCTACTTTACATGCTTCTTCACTCACACCAGAAATTTTTTCTGCAAGCCAAAAATTACTGTATGTTATATATGCTGAGGTGACTATAAACAGTAATCAATATCAGTGTTGACAAAAGCAGAATGTGCATTATATTTAATAAAGCCATTTATTATAATTGTTATGAAGTGCCTTATAGAGAATGTAAGGTTATGGGTAGTTATATGATTGACAGTGTAATTTCTTTATTTTATTTCAATCATATGTGCCTTACATTTGCTGATATGACTACTATGAACGCTTTATGGGACAACCATCATAATTTCAAATATTTGTATGTTCAGGGATCATAAGTCAAGATATATCTTTGTTTATATACATGTGATATATTTACAGATTCATTGATGATAATATTACTGTAACTCAATTTATTCAAATAAATCATAATATGTATTTTTGCTTTTATTATTCAATGTCTATCAGATTATATTTAATATAAAAGATCAAATACAAAACAAAACAATTGAACATATTTAAGTTTAAATTACAGATATTATATTGTTTTTTGTAGTGGTATTATTATCACTAAATCTGTAAATATTTAATATCTGCCATATTAAATTTTTCTGAAAGGGAAAATAACTTGTATGTTTATTTTAAAAAATTATATAAAGATCCATAGGTAGTTCAAATTAAAACTTCTGTCTAGAGCTTGATAAGATTTTCATTTCAGATTTAAAATATATTCATATTAGTATGGCTGAAAGTATCTAAGAATTCTCAACGAGAAGAGCCTATCGCCGTATCGCTAGGTTGATCAANTTTAATAAAATCTTAGATAATACATATGTATGACAAATTATATTATTATACAATTTTTAACATTTACTTGATTATTACGCCATAATTTTAACATTGTTTCTATCTCAGGGATAATACCGTGACGTTTACGAATGATGCTTGAATTTAAAGATTGAGCATTTTTTACAGCTTCGAGAATTTTTTCTTTACCTTTTATAATTGTTCTGATCATCGATTCCGGTAGATCAAACTTTTTTGCCAATTCACAAATTTTCATTTTTGTATCGAAGTAATAATGTAAACAATGTAATGAAGTTAATAATGTTAACTTTACATTCCAAAGATAAAGTTTTTCTTTTTTTGTTTGATGCAGAATAATCAGTTCTACTTCGTTTAGATGACATTTAGAGTCTCTCGAGTCTGCATAGATATAAGAAACACAGAAATAAATAACACAAAATAAATTGTAGCTATGTATGGATTCCGCATGACACGTCCGAACATGTAAGCTGAACAATAGTGTGGGGGGAGTGAGTAATCGAGAGTTGCGTGGCGCTCAAACAAAAGATGAATCAACGAGATTTGAAAATCGCGTAAGTCGGGGTAGCATAAGTCGAGGTATTACTGTACTAAAACAACCACTTCACACCTAAGCGATAATTCCAGCAAATGAACAACAAAAAAATTTTAGTGTTCAAAAGTTTTCAGCCGTCTTTCAGGGGCCCTTGTCAGGAAAAATTGTATAGAATAGAAAAACAGTTCTATCTTTTTAACAGTTTTCAAACATAGCTGTGTTCTAATTTTTAACATTTACATGATGTTGAATACAAAGATTGTTACATATTACAACATATAATTAAAATATTTATAAATAAAGTTATAAATAAATACAATAATAATATATATGGTGTTAATATATAAAATAATATATATGGTGGTAATAATATATTCATTGTTAAATGTTTTAATGTATAACTGATGTGCGTTTGAACATTAAAATTTTGTTGTTGTTTATTTGATGGAATTATCGCTTAGGTGTGAAGTGGTTGTTTTAGCCAAAAGTAATCAGTAAGCATGTTGATGCTCCATCTTTTTTGATATTTTTTCCTCAGTTTTCTTTTTGTTGATAAAATTTTTCTTTCCTCTTGTTCTTTGTTCAGGGAACAAGAGTTGTAGAAAATAATTCAAATGAGATTATATAAGAAGTAACATTTCAAACTCATATTGTAGCTGAGATTCTTGAATGCATCTAGCATTTTGTTGACAATATTTCTATAATTTGAATTTTTCTTGTTATCAAAAATCTTTGTAACAACATGTTTAAAAGCTTGCTGCCTTTTCTGTTTCATTCATTGCATTTTTAAATATAGCATCATCATCATCATATCAGGTTTCTTGATATCAAGTCTTAGGAATATGTTCTTTAACTTGTGGAAGGGCTGGAAATTGTTGATAAACATTTTAAGGAGTTTCTTCCTTTATTTAGAATCTTGATAAATTTTTTATTATCCCCAAATTTATGTGAAGAAGCAGAATGACTTGAGGAGCAACAGTTTGGAATGCTGAAGTTGTACTGTACATTTATTCATTGTAGTGACTATGTCACAGACTAGTGTTATCAATTAAAAATAAATTACTACTAGAAGTTTTATTTGAACAAAATTTTATTAAAGGCCAAAAATAAATAAAATAGAAAAGTCAGAAAATATTACATTTTTATAAAATTTTCTACTTTACATGCTTCTTCACTCACACCAGAAATTTTTTCTGCAAGCCAAAAATTACTGTATGTTATATATGCTGAGGTGACTATAAACAGTAATCAATATCAGTGTTGACAAAAGCAGAATGTGCATTATATTTAATAAAGCCATTTATTATAATTGTTATGAAGTGCCTTATAGAGAATGTAAGGTTATGGGTAGTTATATGATTGACAGTGTAATTTCTTTATTTTATTTCAATCATATGTGCCTTACATTTGCTGATATGACTACTATGAACGCTTTATGGGACAACCATCATAATTTCAAATATTTGTATGTTCAGGGATCATAAGTCAAGATATATCTTTGTTTATATACATGTGATATATTTACAGATTCATTGATGATAATATTACTGTAACTCAATTTATTCAAATAAATCATAATATGTATTTTTGCTTTTATTATTCAATGTCTATCAGATTATATTTAATATAAAAGATCAAATACAAAACAAAACAATTGAACATATTTAAGTTTAAATTACAGATATTATATTGTTTTTTGTAGTGGTATTATTATCACTAAATCTGTAAATATTTAATATCTGCCATATTAAATTTTTCTGAAAGGGAAAATAACTTGTATGTTTATTTTAAAAAATTATATAAAGATCCATAGGTAGTTCAAATTAAAACTTCTGTCTAGAGCTTGATAAGATTTTCATTTCAGATTTAAAATATATTCATATTAGATGAAGATCATCTAGTATAATTTTGATTTTCTTCATGAAATTATAAATGGAAAATAAAGTGACAACTATTAATTAACATTAGAAGAATTAGATATAATAAAGAATTTGTATTCTTATTAAAATTTTTCAAATTATTTCAGGTAGCAATTCCTTCTCTTGTTTATACACTTCAAAATAACTTAATTTATGTTGGTGCCACACATCTTGATGCTGCAACATGCCAGGTAATATTAACAATATCATTTTAATTTATAATAAATAACTGTAATTATTAAATTTATTTTATTACTTTGAACTATAGGAAGATAATCAGATTTTGTAAATGAATATGTAATATAAAATATTTCGATATATGTAGAAAGCAATAGTTTCTACTTTTGAATTGTTTGATTAGATAATAGACAATATGAAAGATGACAGAATGATCAGAATACATCTGATTGTCTTTTGTTCTTCACAAAAATATTTTTTTGGACTTTCCTAAATAGTCTTTTAAGAATTAAGAAGTTAACTTAAAATGCACATCAACAATACAAAAACACAATTTTGTTTTTTCCAAATAAATTGTATAAGTAAACTGTATGTTTAGTACAATTAGTGGATAATTAAATTCTATTATGAGTCAAAATTGCACGTTTAATGTTTGAGAGTGGTGGATTTTAGATATCAGAGAATCATAGCTATCTTACTTTTTGTGATAACATTTATTTTACATTATCTTTTAATATCTACTTGTACTTTATAATTGTATTAGATTTTTCAGTTTGTTTAGTGTGTGTTATAATTTCAAATATTGACAAAAATATTTTCATTTATGCACAGGATATGTAGATTCTGTTTGATTCCTAATTTTTGAAAGATAATTGAATCAACTTTAAGAAATACTGAAATTTAAACAGTTGAATTTATAATTAATGCATAAAAGTGTTTTGCTTGCTCTTCAATATAAAAAAAAAGAATCTTAAAAATGTAATTAAAATTATATATTTTTTTATAAATCAAATTATTTGAATACAGCAATACAAGAATAGATTCTTGGATATTTTAAATATTGACTCCATAAATCAAAATTAATGTATGGAAGAGCTCTTTTAATTGGATATGTATAATATATTAGATACTAAATTATAACATAGAAAACTTTGTCTGTCCAATGACACTTGAGATGTTAACTATTGGGAGATTTACGAAATTATCTGCCACTTGAGAGGTGATTGTCAATTAACAGTTGGTAATAATCTTTATATTGCCATCATTTAAATATATAAAAGTTGATACATTTATTGAAAATGATTAGTGTGTTTCAGTAAATATTGTATCAATAATTTATGCCTAATTCAGCTCTCAATAACAAGTTTTCTGATATTTTCAATGCAGTTGAACTTTATAATGTAAGTTCTGTATTATGAATTTCTCTTTACAATGAATTTTTCTGTGTTTTTACATTTTACATATTTAAAATATTCTTATTTAACAAAATTTATTTTTTATATAATAAACTTCTGAAAGCTTGTTGAATTAAAAAAAACTTATTTTTATATAAGTTTTTTTTAATTCAACAAGTAATAAATATTTAAAGTATTTAAAATAGTGACTCAATTTTTCACAACTAACACTTGTTGGATAGCTTTTTTTTGAGTACTATAAAATACTTGAAAACTATTTTCATAATGAGTCAAAACATAATTGTATTTGAGGATAGTTTGAAATAATGTTACATTCTTTATATATTACAGCAGGTATCCCTCATGCAACATGGTACTTCTACAACATGGTTTGAAAATTGGGAATATCTTCCGTACAAAATTTCACAAATTTTAAGTGTAAACTTTATTATTTGATTTTTTCTATTCAAGTAAGCACACATGTTTCAAATTTGCCCATGTATTTTAGAATATTGAAATTTACAAATTAATTTGGGCAGGTTTACAGTACTTTAATGAAAACTGATAGTGCAATTTTTTCTTCCTTGTCCTAACTTTCCTATCAACCAGGTGTCATTGTTGTTGCTTTCAGACTTTAGCCCTTAAAACTGTCACTGTGTTTTCTTTTTATAGACTAATCTTCATATTTAGTAAAGTTTATTTAAATATTTTTAGGTAAAGTGTTATTAAACTTTTTTTAACCATAGGTGTTACTTATCTATGAATGATTACTTCATTTGTAAAAATGACAAATGAAATACAGGAGTATCTCGGTACTTGAACAATTCAGTATTTGAATGCAAATTCTGAGAAAAATCACTTGGTACTTGACTGAACAAATGCAATCTGCTAGAACAAATTTTTGATTAACAACATATTTTTATTTTGTCATAAAAACTTTTTATGATAAAAATAAAAAATATGAAAATATTACTGCTACTTCTGATGAAGATCAATAAAAAGGTGAGATGATGACGATCTTTGTAAAAAGAAAATGCTCTCATTTAACTAAAATTAATATTAACATGTAATAAGTACTTTTAATTGTGGTTGTTGATTAATTATTGATTGCTTTAATAAACATATTTCTCTTAGAAACGAAAGAGAATAGTATACTTTTGCTAACTTCTGGAATGAAACCCTATGTTTTGCATTAGTCTTTTGTTTCGGATAGCATGGATTTGTAACTACAGTAGAGTGTCGTTTATCCGAAAGCTGGTTATCTGAAACGTCCGTTATCCGAAAGCATTCCAGTCGGCAAATTTAAATTTTCGCTAGTGCTGTGGCGCTGCAATCTTCGGCTATTTCTTGGGTTACTCAAATATTTTACGTTTTTGATACTAAATTAACATCTGAAGTATAATTTTTTATTGTTTTTATATTTTTCAATAAATTTATTTTGTTTGTACAAAATAAAAAAATAATTTTTAACGATAAAATAGCCTTCATTAGGCTTAACATCGACGAAAATTCAACGCGAAGCGACATGCAACAGAGAGAAATTTCAACACGGGATAAATTAATATATTTTTTCGTACATGATTCGTTATCCGAAAAATAAGTTATCCGAACCACCCCAGTCCCCAATTGATTCGGATAAACGACGCTCTACTGTATTATGTTATACGAGGGATACCTATATGTGTGTGTGATTTTTACTTTTGCTATAGCATTTTATTACTACATGTTAGGCTTGGTTCCATGTGTAATTATTTAAATAAATTTAAAATCATTCATTGACAGTAAAATCATTTGATAAAAAGAAATACAGATAAAGGTTACTGATTATTTTTCAACATTAATACATGAGTACTTAAAATTGAAATTGTATTTGGTATTTTTTAGTGAGGGAAAAAATATTATTTTTTGTTGGATTTTTTCATGTAAACAAGGTTCCTATGCACCTGGAGAGTCAGAGATTTTCAATAATGCTTGGAAAAAGTCATGGAAAGTCAGGTAATTTGTCAAAAAATCAACAAGGCTTTCTTTGGCTACTTTGTTGATTTTTGCTCACAGTGTGGTTGACCAAGTGTAATCATCTGCAGGTAGCAGAAGTAATGTGGTGCAATGCAACATATAAAAAGGAGCAGAATATTTTTAGGATCCAAAATTTCCCCAAAAATTATTGTATGCAAAATTAAACCATAATTTATGAATCAATTAATAATCATTATTACATAGTTTGGAAAATTCAAATTAAATCATACATATAATTAAATAGGCCTGCCATACAATTTTCCATACAACATTAAACTGATAAGTTAACATAAAAATATTTTAGATTAAAAGAATGTTTTAATTTAAGCACATGTTTTCATCATTATATGATAGCATATAGAATTATAAACTTAATGCAATATGCTGATTAATAGAAATAAAATTGAATTCAGTGCCATAAATGACTATTTCTATTTTTAGCACAGACAGTAATTAACAGACTTTTTGACATCCAAAATTGCAAAAAAATTTCATGACTACTACTACAAAATGAATTTTTATAAGGAAAATTTTCATATTGAAGTTATTTTCCCACTATGGCTATTATTTTGTCTAACTTCTAAAACACTCCTTTACATACATTTACAATTTAAATAAAAATTACATACATTTACAGTTTAAATAATTTCATTAAAACATTGTAATTTTTTGAAATTGAAATTTTAAAATAATGCAAGCTGGGTCTGAGCTTGGTAATTAATACTGTACTGGCTACCTTATGTGCTTAGCCCATCAGTGGCTTAGTGGATAAAACACTGGTAGTTGGTCACTGTGACCAACTACCAGTGTTTTATCTCACTAATGGGCTGGCCACAGATTTGTGAAGAAAGCCTGGAAAACTCCAACACCTAAATAGAGACAGTTTCTTGTAGAATGGGAGGCATCTCTCCTTACCAGATTTCCAGGTGTTGCATTGCCTTCCCCCATCAATCTATCTATTCTGAGATACTTAACTGCTTTCCTTATCTGACATCATTGAAAGCATTGTCTGAAAATACTGAAAATTTTGTACTGTGTGTAGTGCTGAATAGTAAAAATTTTCATATCCAGGTGGTTGAGATAATTTGGATAGCAGATTTCTCAACGTGTTGTCCACAATCCCTGTGGGTCTAGGCAAATATATTGACTGCAAACTAGGCAAGTGGTACATAAAAATTTATTTAACAGGTCTACCAGAAGGTGAAGTTTGAGAAACACTAAGTTAATGCATGTCATTGAGGTATTTTGTACTTAAAGACATTTGGTTCTTCCAATTTTTCAAAAATTGTATTAAGTTTTTCTTTTACAATTTAAATAAAAATACATTGCTGATAATAAGAATATTACAACTATTACAGTGAAATGTTGACTTAATGTGTGGGATGTATAATAGAAATATAAAGAATGCACAAGTGCTTTTCATCAATTTTTTTTTTTTTTTGTTACTATACCTAAACCAAGTTTGTAAGCAGTTCTTTAAACTTTGCAAACCAAATTAAATGAGTTTCTTTTTATATTTTTAGATAGAATAGTAAGTCTTATGTGTAATAAGATTTATTTATTAAATTGTATGGTAAGATTCTATTTTAAAATCACTCAAAATTAGACTTCATAAATTGTGATCACTTTGTATATTTTTTAAAATTTTGTTTAATGTTCAGACATTTTAAAAACTAATATTTATTGTTTATGTGAAGAATTATAAAATGCAACAGAGAGGAAAGCATTGCAAAACACCAGGGGATAAAACTACTTCCCAAATATAACATACGGTAGTATCAATTGTCATTTGTAAATTTTAAAACAGATGTATTAATTATGCCGTATTATGAATTTGAAGGAAAAGTCTATAATACTCTTAATAATCTAAACTTGATCTAACCTTGATTTAAAATATTTTAACTTTCTCCAAATCTTTCACAATTACCATCTACCCTCAGTTTGAGGGCAGATGTTAAACTGATTTCAAAAAATGATAACAAAGTATAAAAATTGATAAATAATACTATTTAATTAGAATTCTTCAAAAATTAGAAGTTCAGACTATTTACAAAAATATTTAATTTTCAAGTCTATCACTTAATCTTAACTTGATAGTAGGGTGAGATTTACTTATTGTTTTTAATGTTTAGACATCAGATCCTCAAATAAAAGGCTGATGTTGGATTGTTTTTAATATTGTAAAATTTTACCTATTATTTGTTTTTTAATGAACTTATTTCTTCAAGCCAATGTAACGGGTACTTCTGTGGTTGTGTAAAAAAGGATTAAGTGATAGATTCGAAAATTAAATATTTTTGTAAATAGTCTGAACTTCTAATTTTTGATTTTTTTTCCCAGTTTATTAATATTTTATAAAGTTCAGGAAATTTATTAAGAGATAAATTTAATAAATATATACTTTTGTATATGGATTAATAAATAATGGCTTTTATTTATTTTTTCCAAAGCCACATAGATTTATGGTTGTGGATTAATAACAGAATAAACTATTTTAATTTAATAAAACATGTTATTTTTAATTTTAATAATTCAGCAATTATAAAAATTATGCAACTAAATTAAATTAGAAAAAAATAACTAAAAAGTCAAAGAAGCAATAGCATATGTGCATAGAAAGTCAAGTGCTGTTTTATTTTGTCAATGTGCTGTACTTAAATGGACAGGAGGGTCAGGGTATTTGTACAGAGTTGGTCAGGGAAATTCATGGAATTTAAAACAAAAATTTAAGTAGAAACCCTGTATAAAATGCAAGCATAACACTTATATTTATTTTAACATACTAATAACAAAGAATGTTTTTGTGAAAAATAAAACCTCATTACAATAACTTGTAATTGGAATGTTTTTCATTTAATGAATTTTTTATACAATAAATTTTGTTTGCTCTGCAAGCAGTTTGCTGTAGGAAGTTTGTATGTTTGGATTATTGTGACTTATTATTGAAAGAATTTAGAAGATTTTTAGAAGAATATTGAAAGAAAGAATATAAGAAAAGAATTAAACATAGTATTGTTATTTAAAATAAGAAGTTATATAAATATTTATTTATTTAATTATATACATTGATTACTTATATACAATAAATATATTTTATATTTCAGGTTACGTATCAATTGAAAATTTTGACAACAGCTTTATTCTCTGTTGCTATGCTACATAAGAGACTCTCACCAGTACAATGGATTGCTTTGTTGTTTTTGTTCTTAGGTGTTGCTCTTGTACAGTTGGCCCAAATATCTGCACCTCAAATTAATTCTGCAGGAAGAATACAGTATCCGTTTGTTGGATTTACAGCCATTTTTATAGCTTGTTGTTTATCTGGATTTGCTGGTGTTTATTTTGAGAAGATTTTGAAGGGTAGTGATATTTCTGTTTGGATGAGAAATGTCCAATTGAGCACGCTTGCCATTCCTTTTGGACTTATAACACTCCTTGTTAGTGATTTTTCTAATCTCCAAGAAAAAGGATTTTTCTTTGGATACAATGCTCTTATTTGGATTGTGATTTTGCTACAAGCACTTGGAGGTTTAATTGTGGCTGTAGTTGTAAAATATGCTGATAACATACTGAAAGGATTTGCAACATCTCTTGCTATTGTTCTCTCATGTATAGTATCTGTATATGCATTTAATTTTCAACTAACCTTAAAGTTTGTTGTTGGTGCTGCACTGGTCATTGCATCTATATTTCTATATAGTCAGTCAACTGTAAAATCAAATCAGGATTTTAAGAAATAATTATTTTAATTAAAGAAAAATTTAAACAGTAATGAATATTTTTTATAATTTTGCAATATGCATCTTATTGATTAAATTATACTGTTCTATTCACTACTGTACACTATTATGATGTTTCAATTATTTAAATAATTATAAATCATTTCATACTAGAAATTCATTCTTGAAGATAAATGCATCTAAAAGGACTTTTTTTATCATCATTAAGAATGTTCAAGATTTTGACTGTTGTTATAACAGTTCAGAAGTCACTTTAAACCAGGAAATAATTTCATAATTCAACTACAATAAGAAAAAGATTGAAACATAAAAAGTCTATATTTTTTAATTATTTTGTTCATTATTACCTAGTTTTAATGTAAGAATATTATATTCTTTATTCTAAAACAAATTAATAATGATTGTTCTATTGTCAAAAATGTTTTGAACTAAGTATGAACTTCTGTATTTGAATCTTGTTTCTTGTGATGATCACTTTCAGCAGATTATAAATCCATATTTTTAATTTTATGAAATTCATTATGAATTCCTTATTTTCAGTTTATTAATTTTATAAAGTGAAATATTTAATTTTACAAGTGTTCAAGCACTTAGATGGTTGTTTTCTTGTAATAAATTTATGTAAATGTATCATTTCATTGATAATGCAACAAGTACAGTAATTTCATACAGTTCATGTAATGAAATTAGACTTGTTATGGTGATATTTTTTGTTAAATTAAATTGTCATTTACACTACATATTTAGAGAGAAATAAATTTATAGGCATTGCAACAATTTTTTGTTTAAAACTAATCAGTGATGAATACATTATTATTATTTTACATGTGATTATTATTTTTATTTGAAAATAATTATTGAAGAAATGTTAATATCAATTTTGAATTAAAAATATAAAGAAAAAGTGACAGTGTAGTTATAACAATATATAATGTCTGAAAAGAAACTAATTGGTCCTTTGAGAAGAAAAATGAATGTAATAAATGGTGGCAATGAAATCAATAATTCTATCTTTGTGAATTTCATTGCACTACTAATATTTTTGTAGGAGGGTAAATTTTTATATAGTAAACTGGCATTTGTTATACCTATTTATATAAAGAGAGATGATAAAATAACAAGTTCCAAAACTTTTTAAAATTTAGTGATCATTAAAATGATATTTCAGTATATATATTCCATTTTATCCTGTATAATTTATTTATATAAATCCATCATAAAAGCAATTAACAAATTTTAATATGTTATCTGATATTGTCATAATGCTTTAATAATTTAGATGTTAGTGAAAATAGAGCAATACAATATGATGATGTGAAAGTGTAGATTGTAAATAATATGCATAACATGTCAGTAGAATGCATATTGTACAGTACAATAAATGCTCTTTTATGTACACACATTTATAATTGAATTTATAAGACAATAAAAATCCATTTTCAAAATAATTAATTTTGTAAAATAAATGTATTTGAAAGCTATGGGATATGAAATGAAAATGATGGTTTCTTGAATATTTTTAATTTTTATGTAAAAGTTAAATAGGGGATTCCTTTATGATTGGTGTGAAACAAAAGAATCATTGTTAAGTGAAATATTACTGTATGTAATCAGATTGTTTAGTAAGCTTTTCCATAATGATTTTTAATACTGAATATTTATAATTTCTAAATAAAAATTGGAAAGTAAAAATATCAAGTGTTTTCTGTCATCTTCAAATATTGTAATTTTTGATATAAAAGTAGAGCTGTACAATTTTGTTATATATTTAAAATATTAAAATATCTTCTAGTAAAAAAATTTGTATGATGATATTAATTTTCCAAGTTAATTTTGATTAAATATATTTTAATATTTATAATTAACATATTAAATTTTCAAAATTAATATTTCTAAATTTTTTTCATAGAAATTATATACAAAATGTCATTTATTTATTGTGGAACCACCTTCAGATTTATAATTTAAATAATTTGAAGATTTCAAACTAGTAATAACTAATGAAAAAAATTAGAACTGAAATTATACAGAGTTGTTATAAATTATTGAGCGCATTTCAGGGAGGAATAAAAAAACACAGTAAAGTATTCACATGTGTACTGTTTTATTTAATATAGACCATTTAATAAAATATTTTACACTTTAAATAAATTCCATATGAGCTCCATGTGCAGAACATAAAATGTATTGGTGGAATACAATTTTGCACCATGTGTTAGAGCATTTCAGCAGTTATTCCTGACTTCCACTGACTTCACCAATTCGTTGTCTTCAATGTTGCAAACCTTTGTTGTGTACACCCTGTCTTTGACAAACTCCCAAATAAAGAAATCTAGTAGTGTAATAATGTTGAGGAATCAAGGTGGCCAGGAAATTGGTCCTCTGCAGCCAATCCAACAACAATCAGGAAATTTTTCCTGTAGGTAGTCTCAAACAATTAAACTCCAGTTTAGAGGTGCCTTATCTTGCTGGAAGTAGACATTCAATTTATGGTATTGTATGCATAACCCTACAACACACAAAGATATGTAGTGTTAGTCACTGTATACTTGGAAAAGAATGTTTTGTAATTTTCCATAGTGCCACCTACATTCAGTCAAGATCAGCACAAACTTTTACAGCTGCTCTAACATCTGAAATAAAACAGAGGTCACTATGTTTGTATTATTTTTTTTATTCCTTCCTGAAATGCAATCAATAGTTTATAACCACCCTGTATTTATATATTACAATGAATTATAATTAAGATTTGTACACACAAACAAATGCAAATTTTGAAATTAGGCTTTCTAAACATTTTCTCTGTTCTGCAAGCATTAAGATAAGCCTTTTATCTTGCCTATCCTGGTACACAATGGAGTAACTAGTGATGAGGAACAACATTAAATCATAAGAATTTCTAAATTGGCCTAGACTGAACATGGACCTTCCACAATAGTAAACTCTGGCATCTATGCACCTTAACCTTCCAGCTATATGCCCAAAAATTTTATATTGATGATGATTTTTATTATATTTAGATAAACTATTACAAGCTTTATAATTTATTGTCAAACTCTATTAATATTAATTAGTTACAAGCAAATGAAAATTAAATATGCAAAAATTTTAAATTATTCAATTGGTCATAATTTACATTAAATGGTTGAAATACTGACAGCCAGATGACCAAGGTAGTTAAGATATCAGCTACCACCCTGATGACATAGTAACAAATTCAGACAGGTTGAAACAGACTACTAGTTATCATTTGTTTGACCCGAAAAAACCAGGAATTTTTAGGGGGTGGTTCATTCTAGATATGTTGAACCTCTGTCCCTCACCACCCAGTTGTCCTGTTGTGAATCCAGTCAAATTACCATGATGAACTTGATTAAAGACCCTCTTATTGCTTACAGGAAATAGTAATAAAATAGTAAATAAATACCAGCTGTACTTTACCATGATATTAAAACATATTGGCAGGTAGTTTAACTTAAACTATCCTAAATTAAGTCAGGCTTTAGGCAAAGAATGTTAAGATGCATTTTTGAATTAGTGTACAAGATCTTGTGACATTTTAAGTCTGACTTTTTTTAATTAAGACTGTTTCTGAATATAGGCTCAGAGTGATTGCAAAGGTTGATGCAACTTGGGAGACTTTCTATGGGAAACTTGCTCCTACTTCAGTGTTAGCCATGTGAAGAAAACTCCAAGCAGTTTGTCAGGTGCTAGCCTAGTACGAAAAAAATGTTTAATAGAGAAATTCATAATATAGAAGTTTGACTGTATGCATATGTACTAGTGCTATTTGTTAGACGGCCGGTCAAGGTGGCAGCCTACTGGTCTGGGAGACCCAGGATCGAATCCAGTCGAAAAATCCCAGGAATTTTTCGGGGGTGGTACGTCCGGATATGTCGGGCTCCGTTCCTCACTACTCGGCCGCCCCATTGTGGGTCTGGCTGAACCCATAATGGGCTTGCTAAAAGAGGCCCTCTTAGTGCCCATAGGGCGGAAAGAGTTTAAAAAAAAAAAAGTATAGTAGACTAAGATGAAAATGAATGGCTACAAAATAAAAACACTAAGTTTTCTTTACGTTTCTTCTGTGTTATTTTTAAATTCAATTTTTCTCAAATGAAAGTTAATACAGTAGAGCGTCGTTTATCCGAAAGAATTCCACTCGGCAAGTTTAAATTTTCGCTAATGCTGTGGTGCTGCAATTTTTGGCTATATCTTGGACTACTCCAATATTTTTTTGATGTGTGTTTTTTAGCTGGCAGTACTAGCACTTTTGTGTGGTGTTTTTCTGAGGACTGTGTCGTGCTGAATCGAACGTTTTTGATACGTTAATCTTTTTGTTTTTATATTTTTCAATATAGTTATTTTGTTTGTAAAAAATAAATAAATAATTTTTAACGATACAATAACCACGATTATTATTTTAAAAAGTTTACATTAGGCTTAGGCTTAACATCGACGAAAATTCAACGCGAAGCGACACGCAACAGAGAAAATTTTCAACACGGGATAGGTTAATGTATTTTTTCGTACATAATCGGTTATCCGAAAAATAAGTTATCCAAACAACCCCAGTCCCCAATTGATTCGGATAAACGACGCTCTACTGTATCTCGTTTACGGCCTTGCCTAAACGCATGCCTAAGCTTGTAAATAAAATAATTATTCTAATTTTTTTCTAATAAAATAATTATTATTCTAAAATTTTCTATGGAAAATTTTAGAATAATAATTATTTTATTTACAAACTTATATATTTTTATTATTACGTGGAATCAATAATTGTGCCATAATTTGAAAATTTTCTAATAATATCTAAAACTGTATTTGGAAATCTTTATTTGATGTTTCAATAAATTTTCTTATTTTTTATCTGAAGTATAAGATCATATCCCTCTGTTGTAAATATAGTATTTTCTTCATAAATGAAATCGGAAAATGTACTGTACAAATACATAAAGTAATATAGACGAAGGATATAGGAATGATTTATGAATGACGGAAAAATATAAGACTGGCGATTCTAAATAAAACAGTTTTTTTCAAAATTATTTAGGAGTCTATTTTACTTTGAAAAATATTACGTTTTTTTTTTATAAACTTAGTTAATCCTTGTAAGCTTCTTTCCTCTAAAACATTAATTTTATAATTATCTTAATAGCCAGTTGGCCAAAATATAAGGCTTATCAAATTGCAATGGAGCCAAGTAATCGATATCACATTGAAAAAAGACTTTAACCTTATTATAACCTTAACCTGGATCGAATGGTCCCACTGAACGAGTACTTTCGTTAGTGAACAATATGTGGACCAGTGAAAAGACCCAATTAAAACTCGAAAAGGAAAGCCAGTAATGGGAGCATGAATTGGTATAAATTCATGCTCCCATTGGAAGCATGAATTTATACCAATTGCAACTTTGACATAAATTGTTTACAGTTTTATGAATTTTTAAAACATAAACATGATTTATTTTAAAAAGGTTCGTTCTTGTAAACAGTATCAAAATTAAAATTTTTGAAAATAAAAATATAATTGTTTAAGATGCTACGTATATGCTTATATTTTATAATAAATGTTATGAAGCTTTTTAGTTTTAGTAAACAAATAAACGCAACCTGCTTTTTTCAAGTTATGAAACAATTTATGAATTTTTAATTTTATTTATTATAATATAATTAAAAATATAAAAGTTATTATCTAAATAAAATCTCATAACAGCCGAGAAAGTTAAACAACTCTTTGTTATTGATAGATTATATATATATATAGTTACATTTCTTGAGACAATCTTTTCTCAATTTCAATATAGAAAGAACCATATTTGATTGTTTCACGTAAAATACATACACGATATTTTGTTTAGGTCAGGTGAATTCATAAACTTCGTTTATTTAATATGTAAGTCATTTTAATTAACGTTTACGTAACTAAACTATAACATGCATATTTAATATAACGAAAGTCACGTAACCGCTTTTAAAATGGCGTCAGATAAACGAAATTTAGTAAAAATTCCGCTCTCGGTCAATCGGAAAATTCTTGACGAACGAGAAGAAGGATTTGTTCTGGTTTTGGGGGGGTGGCGAGGTAAAGACAACGTTCGATTATAGAAAATCTTGCTTCTAAGAGAACAAGTTGATGCAGATAATCGAAAGGTTACAAAATGGTTACGTAATGGAGATGCAAGATGGTGGGGATTTCAACGCTGGCGTAACAGAATGATTCATTTTCTGTTTAACTTTTCGTGCTGTTTGTCATAATTTGTAGGCCTACGTAATTAAAAAACTAGAGTAATGTTCAGAACACCGTACATTAAATAATATACTGTACGTTACTTAATTTTGGAGACGGGTATGTGCGACAAAACAAATCATCCATATTGAAATATAAAAGGAATTTAATGCATTTTAACTGTGTTCTCTCCGTTTTGTAATTATTTTTATTGGATTTCACAAAAATACTGTTCCGTAAGGGTTGCAATGAAGACAAACTGGCCGTAAACACAAATTTTTGAACAGTATGTAGAACAGTAGTTCTTAATATTAGAATCATATAAAATTAATATGTCGTCTACATATCTTAGCTTTGAATTGAAAGGTTTCTTCATCAATTGACACCATACAAATTTCCACAAGTTTCGGGCCTTCTACGGATCTCATTGCTATTCCATTCTTTTGGCGGTAGTAATCTGTGG